CTGTCAGCCCAGCATTCGAAACTGCCGCCTTGATCCCAATCATAATCGGGAGACAGCCTCAAAAGTAGAGAGACAGGGACATGATTTAGCATATCTTGGACTTGGAAGCACGGTTTTCAAATGCTTCATCTGCAACTTCTTGACAAGAGTCCCAAAAGTTTTAACATGTTTAATTAAACTGAGACACCAAGCCGACAAAACAGAGATAAATCTTTCAGCTCTCCACCAGCTGAAGAACCGCGTCGACAGTCTCCTCAGCCGCAGTAGCAAAGAATGCATGGCTCGCCTTCTCAACTGTCACTTTCCTGTCGATCCCCCCTACAGCCGCATACATCTCTTGTCCCGCCGGCGGCACAACACGATCAGCGCCGCAGATAACATAACCTGCCTTTCCCTTATAATTCTCATCTGTAAGCGGAGAATAAGAGATTGGCGTGTTCATACTATTCAGCGCTTGGTCTTTCAGCAGTGAGAGGTAGTGCTCTGCTTCTGCGTCAGGAATGTCGTGATACATTGTGTCTTTCGCTCCGGTGAACTTGACCCAGCCCGTTGTCTCCTGTGATAATTAGAGTTTGTTAGTCTGTGGGGTTGCCCTGCGGCACGACACAGGGGATGCTGAATTACGTACGTTGTATTCAACCCATGGGGGGAGATTCTTTGCGTCTGTGCCCATCATGTCCAATGTCGTTTTTCCTTCAACGGGCGTCACAGCCGAGACGTAGATCAGGGCAATCACACCACCTTTGTTACCCGCTTGTTCCCGTTCTCTCTTACTTAAGCCCTGAACAGCCTGTGAACCATACATTCCGCCATAAGAATGCATCAACACAACGATATCCTTGCCATCTTCAATAAGCGGGAGTAGGAGTTTCCTCCTCAATGATTCAGCATCGTCTTGACAAGTGCCGTTTGCATCATGTAACCCCGGTGCATTTTGACTGACGAAAGGGTATCCCTTTTCCGTGAAGAGATTCCTTATGGGCTCGAATGACTCGGCGGTATGCCATGCACCGGGGACAGCCAAGATAGTCGGAGGCATGGTAAAAAGCAAAAAGGGTGAGTGATAACGCAACCACACAGATGATGTGTTGGTGGCGCAACACGGATTTATAGTCACTTGTTCAAGAATCAGTAGATCAAGTCTCATGAGCATGCGAATAATTAGCCCGGCTTCTACGAAACCACGCCCTGACAGAGATGCCGAGAATCATGTAATTCCAGGGTCTATCCACAAATAGTATACCGACATTAGCCTCGCGACCGAGTCATGAACCCCGCAATACCCTAGGTCTCGATCGATTCATGCTAATCTTGATACCGAATCGTAAAGGGGAACGCTTCCTATGATCGTTCTCAACTGGCTACACCATATTTACTCCAAGTGTCTTCACGCTAAACTCTAATCCCTTTTCAAATGGTTTACTCTTTGTATGAGCCAGCAATATGGCTGCCAGTGGAGGTTCAGGTAATGTTACCTACGATTCGGGATTCCTCAATGAGAGTCAATAAAATGAGGTTTATGCGACGCATATCGCATTTTTCGTCCGGATGATGATTATTGCGCTATGTCGGTTCTTTCCATCGAGATAAGATGTCTTAGGACGATTTGCTAGCATGCTTTGCAGCCGTAAGTTGTACCGACCTCCCCAAAGTTGACGTGTCTGACATTCTTTGCAGTTCAATACTGTTGGGGTATTCATCACAAGTAAGTTATGGCTTCAATTTGGTCTGTGTAGGCATCTTGCCTGGCTGGACGATCCGAAGGGCATCGAAGACTTCTTCAAGGCCATCGTTGCAAATGAGATCATGTACACGACGGCTTCGGCCTGTGCAAGGCCATCCCTTGTAGCGTTCTTCTACCTTGTCTTCGGCGTCTCAAGTATGAGATACTTTCTACACGAATTCGTTACCTTCATCATTGCGTGGGCTATCACAACGGCAAGGCTCACCACCAAAAAGCTCCGTGGTTAATGCTGACATTACGGGGTACGTTCCCTCGATTCGAGCATGCTGACCTATTTCAAACTTCTAGGATGGCACGAACCAAAATTGTATCGATCTTTCGAAATTTTATGTTGGAGTCTCGATTGTTGGTATCGTCACTGACATTAGCCTGATTGTTATTCCTCCGCCGTACATTTGGACTTTGAAGGTACCCTTATACCATAAGATCCTGATCGCACTCATGCTGGTCTTTGGTAGTTTGTCAGTAACTCTCCCCCAAATAGCGGTTTCTCTGCTCAAAAAGGAAGTGCTTGTTTCGTCACCACAATCCGTCTCACCACGGCCATCACCGTTGATCTGAAAGATCCAACTTGGGGGACTGTCGACCTGATGATCTAGACCGGCATGGAGGTCTACAGGTATGCGTTTTCCTTAGAACTCACTATGAATACAATACTGACTGATCAGTGCAGTAATCAGCTGCTGTCTCCCAACGATGCATCCGCTGAACAAATTTGTCTGGAAGAAGCTCGGGTTGAAGCAATTGACTTCGAGTGGGAGCACAGATCAATCAAGGCCTACGTCAAATGGAACTGATATGTGGGGAGACAAGTCACGTCGGAACTCACGACATTTGGGATATGGTATTCTGACATCGAATGCAGACGAGGTGGAGTTGACGAAGCATGCCTACTATGAACTGCATTCAGAGAATGCTCACGGTCGATCACAAGACTCTATCGCGGTGCATAAGCAAGTTTGAGCATAGCACCAGATTAAAATCGATGGACAGTACGATATGGGTTCTTAGAATAAGCATAAATTGAGCGTTCATTCTTGAATGGTTTTGGTGGAAATCTGGGTCACCCGAGGCCGGACTGTCTAAATGCCGAGAAGTGGGGCACCGGTTCCGAACCAGCTGTGCCGTCCGTTCCCTCGCCCGATCTTATCGTCGGGCCCGAAACATGTATTTTCGGGCCTTGTTCAGCAGTGTTGGTGGCAACTATATATAACCCAGTCTCCCGCCAAATTACCAGTCATTCTTCATACACATTAACCTGTTTTTCATCAACCATGGTAACTACACAAGAAACATCAGTTGTCATCGTCGGCGGCAGCCTCGTCGGCCTCTCAACAGCTCTTTTCCTCTCCCACTTCAATGTCCCCACCATCCTCATAGAGCGCCACCCGGGCAGTTCTCTTCACCCTCGTGCCATCGGCTACACTGCCCGAACTATTGAACTCTTCCGTACCGTTGGCGTAGAATCGAAACTCAAAGGCATCCAATGGTCAGGCGGCCCACCTCGCCGTATCGTTGTTGAGAGTCTTGCCGGCAAGTGGACGAAGGAGCAAGGCTGGACACAGAAACCCAAAGGCGGACCTCCTGTTTCGTTTGCAGAGTACTCTCCTACAGAAGGTGTTGCCATTGCTCAAGATGTCATTGAACCTGTTCTGAGAGATCGAGCGAAAGAGCTCGGTGCGGATCTTAGACTGGGCTTTACTGTTACAGGCTGGAGTCAGGATGACGAAGGCGTGACAGTCAATGCCACTGGGAATGATGGTGAAGAAATCCATGTCAAGGCAAGTTACATGGTCGCATGTGATGGCAACCGCAGCCGTATTCGAGAAAGTCTTGGTATCCAACGTCATGGCGTTGGTCTCCTTCGGAAGCTCCAGAGCATCATGTTCAGATGCGAGCCGCTCCAGCATTTCCTCGACCACGGCTACAGTCAATTCCAGATCGAAGGTCGCGAAGATGGTTTCGAGGCTTTCATGACCACTTATGGCGGTGGGCGATGGATGCTAGCTTGGAACCAAGAGGTCGACGATCCTGAAGCTGTTCTAGATGACGCCATCCAGCGCGACATGATCCGCAAGGCTTCTGATGTACAGAATCTCCGCGACGAGGATATTCAACTCATCACTACTGGTAAATGGGACATTGGTGGTCTTATCGCGGATAAGTTTTCTATTGGTCGCGTCTTCCTCGCTGGCGATGCAGCTCATGCCCTCCCTCCGAACCGTGGCGGTTATGGAGCAAACACTGGTATAGCCGATGCACATAACCTTGCTTGGAAGCTTGCATCTGTTCTTCGTGGTGAATCCTCGCCAGAACTTCTTGATACATACGATGTTGAGAGAAGACCAGTCGCAGATGTTCGACATGACCAGATCTTTGCAAGGGACGACTACAAGCGATACGTTATCGACAAGGAGTGGCCTGGGAAGAGTGTTGAGATTATGGATGATGTGGCGATGGAATTTGGATATTTCTATAATTCAAAGGCCATCGTCGGTGGTCCAGATGGATTTGTTCTTGTCAAGAGACCGGATGAGTGGAATGGACAGCCAGGTACCAGAGCGCCGCACGTTGCAATCAAAGATGATCATATCTCAACTCTGGACTACTTCGGTACGTCATGGGTTGCCATATCAAAGGAGAAGAGATGGAGCCAGCTCGTGGCAGAGGCATGTAAAATGACAGACGTAAAGATTGCGTTTGTGCACGTTGGAGGTGACGTTACCGAGAAGAATAAGGGCGACTCCAACAGGCTTTATGGGGTGGACGATACCGGTTGTTCCTTGATTCGGCCAGATGGCTTCGTTGCTTGGAGAGCACCGACATGGCCGGCTGAAGCACAGAAGGAGTTTATGCAGGCGTTAGGTCAGGTGTCCTTCTCGTCGAAGCATGAAGATGGGTTGCGGTGAAGGCCGCTCTTCACAAATGTAGCTTCGGAACCCGTGTGGTTTTTGCCGGCATCATCCTCAATTAACATCATTGCACTATCACGCAGGCTCAGTGGCGATGGCACCGGCTGACGGGTCAAGCCCTCCAAATGTGTCATTCTTGGTCTGGGCCGTCTTCCTCGTTTCATCGCAGAGGTTGATATGCGAGCAAACAAAGCAAATTAGAATAATTAACAGCGGGGATTAGTAGTAGATGACGAAAAGAATTTTCAATTGAAAGATTTATAGACAAGAAGTATAGTTTTCACATGCCCTACACAAGCCATGACACTTAGAGAGCCGTTACAGGGCTTTCTAGCCATCACACTCTAGTTAAACGGCCGGCAGTAGTAAACGGTCTCAACAGTCCAGCCATCAACGGTATACAAAACGATAGGCTTTCCAACAGCTCCGGTACGCTTCCAGCAGTTATACGTATGGTATCCGTTGGTGCCCGTGCCAGCCCATGCATTATCATGCTTGCTGGCTGCATCCGCAAAGATATTTGATGTGAAAGACACACCGGTGCCAAAAGTACCTAGTTCCCAGTTAATGTCGTCTTTCGAGATTGAAGCAAAAGAACTTGCCCTTTACAGCTTGGCCTTCCCAGATGATGTGGCTTCCGTGGGTGACATCGACGTAGTCATCGGGACGAGAGCCTCCAGTTCCGCCTGTTGCGTCGTGTCCGTCGGCATAGTATGCCATTCCGCTGGAGATCTCGTTACCTTTCCAGGAGTTTACGAGGTACAGCGTGTCGGCGGCCGAGACAGCGCCAACAAGGGCAGCAGTGAGGAGAGCGGTGATCTTCATGTTGATGGTGATGAGGGTTGATGGGATGAGTTGAGTTGGATATTCTAATATTTCTGGGCGAAAACACCATATATTTATACAATACGATAATGAGTATTTTCGCAAAAGGACCAAATTGCGGTCCAATAACTTACGGTTAAACTACCAGCTTAGGTCGATGCCATGCAACATTACTCCATTTACGCTGTTGCAAGCGCTGACATCAGCGGCCTTCACTGGTGACGGAATCGAGAAGCTGCTCCACAGAGCTGAAAGTTCTTTGGCTGTTATTCGGCAGACCCCTGGTATCATTAGAACTTTTGCGCTCCGAGTAATACAGCCCTATCAGAATGTGGTGACAATTATCGAGGCTCGGGCCGACGTTTCATGACTGGCTTACCTTATTAGGCAGCACCTGCGAGGTCATTGGTGCTACTTGGCTCACTGGCAATTTGCCTGTGATGTTTACAACAAGGAACTCCATGCGTCGATAATGCAGGACTTGTGGTCTCTCTTGCAGCTCGACGGGCGCAATTGGAGGGATCGCAAAGTAATGTCTCTACTGGGGAAAGTCAAGTTCATGGGGGTGAACAGGGTATCTAAATATAGAGTCTTGTCACCGATTGATGCGTTTAGGTTCTCTAAATGGAAAGTGATGAGAGCCGCACAAGATGAAAAGTGCAACTGGAAAGGGGAGTTCAGATGTTTGGTTTTTGAGCCTAGACCTTCCGTCAAGATGATGGGATATGGCCTACGTAATGCTGTCAAAAGCTATTCAATCGAGGTCGGGTTTAGCACTCAATTGTAGCCATTACAAGAGCAAGGAGTACATTACCCATCTGTTTTGATTTCTGTTCTTTATCATCATGTGTTAGGCCCTAAACCTCTTTTAATCTCTCGAAATTATCACCATGGCCATTAGCTGAGATCGTTTCAACTATTTAGCTGGTTTTTACTCACACCAGTTAGCTGATCGCTCCACAGGCGGAATTGGAAACATCTGCTGAGAGGATTGATAGCAGAAACTCCGCGACGCGTAGATGAGTTAAATCTCAGTAGTACCCATAATGACGTTAAACTTCATTCGCAATTTAATTTCCAAAACCGTTTCCATGCGACATAAATTTCAGCTGTTATCCACCACAGTAGGGTGACTAACTACCCTATACACCTCACTCAACGAAGCCAACTTCTGCACTCTCGATCATTTGTCTTTAATCCCCGAATCTCGCCGTTATGATTACTAAATCTATATGGCCGTAATAATGGACTTTTATTTTTACTAGAAAAATAATACCAGTAGCAAAAAGAAACAGTGGACATCCTTTATGATCATTGGCTTATAAGACTCGTTGGTCCATGACATTCCTGAACTCAGCCTTGCGTCACGTGGCCAATAGATGTCGGCCAGCTTTCAGCCTCGCTGAGGGCGCCACACTGCTGCCTAAATAATATGTCTTTGCGTCTTGGGCACCAAGCAGCAGTTATCACTTCCGTTGAAGCTCCAACAATTTCGAATCGAGATCTCAAGACTACATCGATAGAATGAGTGTCGGGGTCGGTGTAGGCGATTTTATTAAAATCCTGGAGCTTATTCACCAAGCCCGCAAGCGATTCGTGGATGCCCCCAGTCAGTATGATGCAATATCAAAGGAGTAAGCCAATTTTCTGCTTCTTCGCATATAACATACTCACTTGACCGGAAGCCTCAAAAGCTTTCAAAATGTCATCTTAGATATTGATATCCTTTCATCGGAATGGGAACCCGATACTGAGCAGCGAGAAAAGCTCCGGAAAGTCACAGACGAGTCAACATGTCTTTTGAAAGATCTTCTCGCGAAGCTTGACAAATATCGAGTAATTGGAGCTACCAGGACGGGCATGGTTCAGCATGCGAAGAAAGCCTGGAAAAGATTGAACTGGGACAATGTTGATATTCAAGACTTCCGAAGCCGGTTGTCGCTCAATCTCCAGGTACTCGGTGCTGCCGAGAAACAGATATATAGGTATTCATAACATTTCTTCTGAGAAGTCTCATGGGCTGAAATAATTGCAGCAAAAGGTTCTCCAGAATGGAACAAAAGACCGATCACATAACCGAGCGATTAGATCAGCAGCATCTGCATGAAATACTTGATTGGTTTGGACCTTCTGACAATAGATCACGCCAAGGCTCTTTGTTAGATCAGCACGAAGAGGGAACTTGTGAATGGTTTCTAGCTTCAGCAGAGTTTCAGGAATGGATGACCAGTCAAAATGGAATTTTGTTCTGTCCAGGCCTTCCAGGAGCAGGGAAGACATTCCTAGTTTCCATTGTGATCCAACATCTTGAAAACTTCTTCGACAATGACGGTAACACTGGCATAGCTTACCACTACTGCGGTCTCAGGCACCGAGACAACGAAACCGTCAATCTTGTTCTCTCAAGTATCCTAAAGCAGCTTGCTCAGTGCCAAGAGTCTCTACCAGATGCAATGAGCACTTTGTATGGTATGCACAAGAAAAAGGACACTCGGCCCTCGGTCAAAGAGATCAAGAGAACATTAAATACTGTGTCATGTTTGACTTCTCGAACCTTTATAGTCATTGATGGTCTTGATGAGTGTCATGTGTGGAGAGAGCTTATGACGGAGCTCAGAGGCTTGCAAGGCGTGAATATCTTGGTAACCTCTCGGGTCATCCCTGATATTTGTAACGACAAGCAATTAGAGGGGAGTACTGTACTTCAAATACATGCCAGGGAAGCGGATGTTCGTAAGTACCTTGGTACGAACGTGCTGAAGGTTGGTGGAATCGTCGCAAACAGTCAACAGCTCCAGGAGGATGTTTGTAAAGCGATCTTAGAGGCGAGCGGAAGGATGTAAGTCGATTCTGTCCTTCTTCTGGACCATCATTCAATGCTAAACCAACACAGGTTCCTTCTGGCTCGCCTGCACCTTGACTCTCTTGAAGGTATAATATCTGTCAAAAGGCTGAGAGATGCACTCAGCACCTTGCCGACTGGTACATCAGCATACGACGAAGCTTACCAGGGTGCTCTTGAAAGAATAGAGAGCCAGCACGGAGACCGAGCATCCGTCGCTAAGGATGTTCTGGCCTGGCTGACATTTGTAAAAAGGCCTCTCACCATTGAAGAGCTCCGAACAGCTGTCATTATCCAGGAAACAGATTTACATATTGATGACGACAGCTTAATGAGTATAGAGGATATGGTTTCTGCCTGTGCGGGCTTGGTTGCCGTTGACGAGCAGAATGACAGTGTTACTCTTATTCATTACACGACGGAAGAATACCTGAAGCGGGTATTGCCCACGTGGAGAAACTCGCAGCTGGATGCAGACGCCATGATAGCGACTTCATGCCTTACTTATCTGCTATTCCCTATCTTTGACGTCGATTTCTCATCGATGGAAAGACTTTCTCAGAGCAGAAAAGCTGGAAAACAGGTCTATCCGCTGCTGAAATATTCTCTCGACCATGGTGCGTTTCATGCCCGACTCGTTGGTGCCAACTACCCTTCCATTGCTAGATTCCGCTCTTCGAGTTCAAGGGTTTGCAAGAACTGGCTACTATTGAGTGCAAAGGATGGGAAAGGCCAGGGGGAAGCTACTGCCTAATGGCTCATAGAGCAAGGCGTATGCGCCGATGTCCGGGATGCGGAAGGGAGAACCGCTTTGCACCATGCTGCAATTAACGGCTGGGAGCGGTGTACTGAGTCTCTACTCAAAGGAGGAGCTATCATTGACTCTGACTTCAAGAACATGACTCCTTTTCACTACGCAGTTAGCACCGGCAATGAAGCAATCGTCCGAGTCTTCCTGAACGCCGGGATACCAGTGGATCTACCAGTGACGAGGCAGACTCACGTACCCCATTATCAAGAGAACCAGTCGAGTTATACTGCAAGAGACAGTGAGCAGACGGCCGTTTACAACTCCTGCCCAAAACGAGGTCTGACTCCGCTGCATCTCGCTGCCTTGACAGGAAGCCAAAAGATGACGAGGTTCCTTCTGGATTACGGAGCGAACCCAAATTTTCCTTCTGGCAGTGGTGAAACGCCGCTACATCTAGCAATGAAGCAAGACTTACACGGGCCCAGATGTCAAACCGCTGTGGACTTCTGGAAAGATGCAGATAATCGCGTGGAATGTGTTCTTGAATATATTGATCGAGAGGAGGATGAGTACTGCTCAGTTGTTGCCTCGATCCGAAAACAAAGGTCTGCGGTTGTTGACCTAATCTTAGACAGCCCCAAGACCGATATCAATGCCCAAGACAACTTTGGGCTGTCTGCTTTGCATATCACGGCCCGCAGTGAGAAATTGACCGAGTCGTTGTTTCAGAAGCTCATCGACAGAGGTGCCGATATCTCCTTGTGCACAAGGCAAAATAGGACGCCATTACATTTCGCCGTTATAGAGAAGAATTTCATTGCTGTCTCAAAACTTCTCATGCTGGGGGCAGATCCTGTGGCCGAGGATGTCAACGGGGTCAACACTTTGCATTATGCAGCACAAACTCGCCACTTACAGACAATGCAAGATTTGTTAAACGCCATCCCGGACTTCCAGAAGGCGGCCTTCATGGATTCCAAAGACAAAGAAGGGAAGAATGCTCTCCATCACCTCTTGAGAAAACGTGGTGCAGTTGGAGTTCCTGTCGCCCGATATCTCCTGGAACGATGCAATAGTATTAACAGTCTCGACAGCACAGGAATGTCGCCCACGGCGTTATATCTTAGTGCTACTGTCCTCATTTCGCACCAGGATGACCAACATGTGCTAGATCTTTTGTTTAGCTGTGGAGCAGATCCCACCTTCAAAACTAGAGAAGGGTTCGGCTTGGTGCATTTAGTCGGTACTTCCCGCCGATGCTCTGTGGGTGTGCTACAGACGTTAGCAAAATGGGGTACAGATCTAAGGTCTTTGGATACAGAGGGTCGAACAGTTCTTCATCATAGTTCCATGATAGGAACTCTCGTGGAGGACGTCCTTCACTTTCTTTGCCATGATGTAAAGCTGTCCGTGGATCTGCGCGATGTGCATGGGAAGACAGCTTTGGATTATGCCGTTGAGGAGAAACAGAAGGAACATAACCCGGATCTTTTCGATCCAGGCCGGTGGGTTAGGGTGGAGAAGCTACTTCGTGGTATAGATATGGAAGCATAGGTTGGAAGTCTACATATCCTTTAGTAGCAGCCTTATCGCTTCCCTGTGTTCTTGTGTCGTCTCACTGAGGCGGCTTATATATACAAACATGCATACTATCCATGTCTTCTGAATTAGGATATGTGATCTTCATGTATTTTTAATGGGTTTGACTACTTCCTGTCAATTCTCAGTTCCCATTTGTTACCTGTGTTTGCAGCCTAAGGGTGAACCTCATAGGCCGCAGCCATCCCATATTTTCAATTCTCAATCATCATTTCCCTCTTCAATTACATGACCCAATCCAGCCACGAAGCGAAGATCACGCTATCATGTTTTATCTCGTTCAGGACACCATCAGCCTTCAAGAGTAAGTACAGTCCTGCACATAGACTACCTGGCAGTGATTCTACTCTCTCATAGGTCACTTAGCTTTAGTCAACAGAAGGGTTGTTTGCAGTTAAGACTTGAATCTCACATTTAACTACAGAAGAAACAAATCATGGCTTTGGAACAATAGGGAGAATTAAGCAGCAGAAAACTGAGTAAACATTCTTTTCTCGCAATGCTAATCAGAAGAAGGGGGAGACTTTGGCCACACTTCCCAGTCTATTACGTCCTCCCATCGAAGTATTTCATCACCATCGTCGTCACCATAATCATGATAATAATCATAATCCTCACTCTCATCATCAGGAACAGGCGCTGAGTAATACATGTTCTTCTGTTTGTTTCGTTTGCGCTCAGCTCGTTTCGCTTTTTCAGCCTTGTGTTTCTTGTGTGCCCTCTTTGCCCATTTCATTAACTTGTCAGGGTAGCATATACACCACAACGCAACCTCTCGTGCTGCCATAGCGTCTTCCAAAGCATCGTGAGTGTTGGAACCCTGTCGAATACGCAATTTCAATAAGTCTGCACAGAGGGATTGGAGACTCCATCGACGACCAAAGGAAGCGCCCGTTCCAAACACCGCTTCTGCTGTAAGAATAGCAGTATCGAAAATCTTTCCATGTGATAATCGAAGCCCTTTTAAATCTTGCTGGAGAGATTGTCCAACCATTGCTGTCTCTGTGTTGATATGCTTGAGTAGTTCTTGTCGTGCTGCTTCCCAACCACGGAGAACTTGTCCATGGGATGCGGCTATGGCGAGTGTCGCCGGCCTTATACCATGAATGTTGGTACGCCAGTCAATGATGGGCTCATGAGGTTTGACAAGAGAATTGAGCAAAAGTTCGCCAGTGAAAAAATCGATCACGCATATGGATATAATTTCACTTTCGCCATTTCTGATCCCTGCCATTTCGCAATCTAGGGCAACTGCCTTTCTTTTGGGCTCGAGAAAGGTAGGATGAGTAGCCACAATGATTTGCTTCGTGATAGCGGCTTGTCGAGCGTTCTCTGGAGCTTCCTCCCCCAAGGCATAGCCCTCCCTTTTGAGGCGCTCAGAAGAATGGCATTTGCGGATGAGACGTTCGTATATAACTGAGTTATCTAGTAGTGAGAACCCTTCGTAGTTTTGGTCTTGGAAGTGAAATGGTCGTGGAGCTTGAGGTGATGAGACCTTTACCACTTGGTTTTGAGACAGTATAACCGCCGGCAAGTTCCTATGTTTTGCTTCATTGTGCTGTGACAAGGCTTCAGTGCTACAAAACCATCTGATGCAGTACTCACAGCACTGGCTGCTTTCATGGTCTGTATCTAAACAATGTTTTGCTAATTGGGAATGGGTTTTGAAACGAGTAGAGCATACTCTACAGCATCGCTGGCTGTTCTTGTTGATATGGACCATTGTAGAAGGTTTCTGAAAAGGTCCGCGGTGTAAAATGAAAGATAAAAAGTTGGGGGCGTCTCGAGATATTTGCTTACGGCTGTCTGTTGGGCCTCATCGCTTGCCAGGCCTCCTGAGTCAACTATGTGTTGGCAGTACAGATGCAGGATGGTGGCGCAATCACGCGATCCAGGCAATGCACCTTGGCCCAGTTGCGTAGCCAAGTCCGCATCTGTAGTAACACCAATCAGAGTCCATTTTTTAATTTGCCCTAAGTATTAAAACATAAGAAACGAGACTTGGAGGCAGGTCCCTTCATACAAAGAAAGTCAGGTAACGGGCTGGCATTGTCATACAGATCGATACTAGCAACCAGTTTGCTGTGAGAGCTGTCGGCTGCACAACGGTCAATCATTTCAATCCATCCTTGGAGATTTAAGCTAAGCGCCCTATTGATCCTTTCGTAGTGCGGGGTTTGAAATGCATCCTCAACAAGCTCCGCCATGTCTTGACAATCTACTTTTTCAAGGGCCCGCTATATGCAGGAGGCCGACCACTCTGTCATCCAGCCAGATCTTTCCGGCTGCAGCGGCCATAATCAAGGGTGAGATGTAGGACTTGATCATCAGCACATTTGGATGAGGCCCTCACCTGTGACGTAGGTCTCCTCTCGAAAATAAGAAGGGGCTCTTCCTGTGGATTCTACTCATCTTGGCCCTATTACATATTCTTACAGTCAAAACTCTCATTCTTCTGCATCTAGCATATCAGTTTTCGTTACCTGAGATATGATTTCCTTCCAACAAATTCAATCTGACATGGATGCTAGTCAAAGTCAGCCGGCTCATCTTATTCATGCCACTGCCGAGCGAAAACTGAGGCTCTCGGAGCTTCCTTGGTTCGGCTGTGATGATGGGCTCTCAGAACCAGGCATAACAGCAGAGTACATAACTGGAAGTCTTGAAAGCAACTTCAATGAAATGCACCAGCAAATCGAAGACTTGCAGGTAACGATAAACAATCTTTTGGAAGAAAACAAGACCCTCAAGGTTCAGATGAGAACAAAGATGGAAGATTCGATAACAATGCGACAAAAGATCTGCAAAATGAACGTTGATATACAAGCACTTCTGAGTGAAAGAAAATCAATGGCAGATGAACTTGATATGCTGCGAGCGCAGAGTGCCGTGCGTCCGCTGAGAATGCTTGAAAAAACACAAAGAGGTATCATCGTCAGCAAACTACTTTCTAGATCACAGACAATGGACGACAATTACAACACAGCCGAAGAGAAGGTATCAATTGGTTCTAGAGTTGAGAATACGATATCCGATGTAAAGAGTCCTTTGGACAGCGTCCTGAGTGTCGATGAGGCTCGAAGGCTTTTTAATTCCTTCCAGGATTGGTTTGACGAGCGAGATCTGGATTCAACATCACTGCGCCGTTGCTCAATTTGCCACAAAATGAGGTTTGAGCAAGCTAATCCCGATAGTTCAAACCCTTTTGTCGATGAGTTTTCCACAAGTCTGCAACGGCCTATCACCTGCAGTACTTCTGTCTGCTTGATCTGCTATCTTGAATCTATTCTCAAGTCTGTACAGAGACTACCTGAAACTTGGTGGGAAATTTCAGGGTCAACAGTTCTGATGCCGTGTCCGTGCGGTGCCTGTTCGGGGGATATCACTTTCGAAGATCGTGGGACTTTACAGAAACTACTTGGACTCGTGAAAGTCCAGGATGCAGACGGAAAACTGAGAATGTAGGCATTTATAGAATGTCCTAGCTTCAAATTGCTAATCCTTCCCCTACAAACAGATATGATACTGCACAGCATCTTCTGTCAGTACTCGACACCTTTGATCCGCAGCCAACTTTGGAAGCACGTCAAGTAGCCAAACGACTACATCAACAACTGACTTCGAATGGCATTATGGAACCACTATTTGATCTTAAGATCTCGGAACTACCAACTCTGGAGAACGGTGTACCACACGACGTGAACTCTAGACTTGTCCAGCTTCTCAAGCTGAACGGTGCTGACGAAGTATTGCGTATCCCCATCTTCACTCAGCTTCTGCGACGAGAACATTGTCCGCTTGAATGTTCAATTTGCACTGAACCTATCTACGATCTAATTGATGAAGTATTTGAAAAGTGGGATACCATCTGCAGTGAATACGATGGGGACTGGAAGTGGAAGGTTCTTCCTTTCCCTCGCAAGCTTGGCCAGAGGTGCTCTCATACTGTTGACTTCTGCATGGATTGCTTAGAGAACTACATTGAAGCCCAGCTTGATCAACATGGGAGAGCGATATCATGCCGAGATCAGGACAGTACAATCAATCAGCTCATCAGGATGGCTGTTACTTCAAGTCAAGTAACCAACAACCTACACAGGTCACTGGGGAGCATATACCTGCCTTATGATGGGTCAGGTGCTTATTAATTCTGGGTCGTCGAGACTTGGGTACAATGATAGAACTCGTGGTGATTTATAACATCGAAATCTGTGAAATCTTTGCGTATACCTGGGATTAAATCGCTATACCGACATTCTCAGCCCAACTATGGCCGTAATCACTATTATTCCACAACGTTCATTCATCGGCAACCTAGAAGCTTGTGTCCATAGGGTGGGGTTGCGTTGGATCTGAAGTTTAAGTGTATGGCTGAACTACGAGACCTAGTCGCCCTTTCGAGCTTGTAGGTGCCTATAGCATTGTTCTCCGGGCTCATCGTGTATCATCTGAATCCACGGCAATTCACCAACCATTTTTCGCATAGCCTCCCAAGAGAGGTTTGGCTGAACAGAAGATCTCCACATCGACGATATCCAGCTCGATGTGTCGATAGTAGAGATACACCCCATCAACATTAGCCAAATAAGCAATGGTATGTGGGAATCTTGTTCTTGTTCCATAGCCAAATAGCACTCCTCAAGCTGTGAGGCGAAGATTGGTAGGTGAGATTTCCGTGCCGGGCTACGTGAGAGTGTCGACAAGAAGGCAAGCATGCCAAGCCGCAGGGCTTCGGATACGACAGGGAGATGACCGTTTCCCAGACCGATCAACAGGGTTTGACTCGTGCTGACCTGAGACTGGAAGTCCAACCAATTCAGAGTCCTTTTCGACTTCGAGGATCGATATTGGTTCGCATGAATTGACAAAGTTTGCAATGTCTGATAGCAGCTCATCAATGCGGGATACACTATCAGCCAGGGCATAATGCTTGGAGGTCTGATGACGCCAATAGGCTGTTGCAGGTATGAATAGTCGAAAGGAAAGTACAGTGGCCGACCTGTCGCCAACGACATTCTAAGGTCGACCTGCTGGATCTTGAACAATAGTTTAGAGTCCAACGGCACCGGCTTTGTCTCGCGCAGTTCCAACAACCTCCTCAGTCCGTCAAGGTGTGTTGAAACAGCATCAAAATCTCGGAATGACTCAGCTGCAAAGAGAAGAATTAATATGATGAATATCGTGGAGTAGGATTGTTGCCCGGAAGCATCGCGAAGACTGCTGTTCAACGACGAGAGGACGGTGCAGAGTATTCGCTGCGATCGAAGTGATAGCTTGGTACCAGAACATAAATCATCCACGGCATATGTAGCCAGGAACATCGACTCTAGCAGAGTCTTGTTCTCGTATAGCAATGTCAAGTTGTCGATCATTTTGTGTTCTTGGAGGTCTCTGTTCTCGAGATATGTCTCAAGAGGATATGCTGCGTCGAGCAGGGCGTTGAACTTGACGACTACAATATTGAGTCAGTATTTACCTTTCAATGTGGACCTACAGTACATACCTAACCGCCATGCAGTTGATGGCAAGCGAGATGAGTCAAAGCCAAGCTCATTTGTTCGGGCTTGTAGTGACTTTGAAAGGGGCCCGCAACTTGTTAATAGGCAAGGAGACGTGATCTCTGGGGATTCGGTAGTCTTCCCGACACTTTCCGTTGCGGCGACTATCTCTGATGCCTTACGCGCCTTTCTTCTCGATCGGCGTGAGTCTTGGCGTACATTGACCCCCTTCATACACCGACTGCGAATCGAGGCTCGACTACCGGATTCGAGTGGACGCCCGTGGCCATCAACAGTAAGGAACGTGAACTCAGTGGCTGGCATTGGATCAGATGTTTACGGATGGGGACTGAGTGGTGCTGACTGACCCGAAAAAGGGCTTCAATCTGGCCCAAATCTCGCATCTGCTCAGCCTCGATCCTCCGTCACGGACCCTGGCTGAAATTAATCAGCGAAACTCCGCTTGACCAGATTGATACCTGAATTAGGCTAAGCGTTATCTCTGTCCTGTTCGGATTTTGGAATACTCCGATTTAGCGTAGATCTTATCCAGTGTACTAGCCGCTTTAGGACATCGATGTGGTCGTGTCATCGTCAATCCGACAACTGCGGAGGGGTATGAGAGGCACTGCCAACAGAGCTGAAAGGCTAGGCCGTTATTGCGGAAAATGAAACGCGTTTTCCTCAAGGTGACCATATTGATGTCTAAATTCAGGTAGAGTACACGTTGATCATTAATTTCGGAACATAGATGTGTCTAGAAATGATATGGAGTACATCTAAAGCCATTTATAAAATGGGCTTGTTTCCTCAATGTGACAAATGTTCATAACAGTTTTAGTCACTTCATCTTACCAATTCTACTAACCATCTCTCTTGTTATCTCATTATGGCTAAGAACGCATCTCCCTCCCGAAGTGCATCCTCTCAAGTGCCTCCACTTACCCTATCCGTCGGCCAACTTTTTGTCCAATCCCAACTATGCACCAAGCCACAATTGCCTCCCAAGGACCTCGACCTCTCAGGCCAAACGGCGATCATCACCGGGTCAAACAATGGAATCGGCTTTGCATGTGCCAAGCTTCTGCTCCAGCATAACTTGAGCCATCTCATCATGGCGGTGAGATCTGAAGACAAGGGCACTGTTGCCGCTGAGGAGCTTCGTCGAACATCAGCGTCAACAAGTCCCCAGATTGATGTTTGGAAGCTCGACATGGGATCTTACCGCTCGATTGAGGACTTTGCAAAGCGCTGTGAGACTCTGCCTAGGATAGACCTTGCCATTCTCAACGCTGGTATGGGCGATATAACCTTCCACCTTAACAAGGCTACAGGTCATCAAGAGATTGTGCAGGTCAACTTCCTCTCTACCATGTACCTATCCGTTCTTCTCTTGCCTATACTCAAGAGTAGGACTCCAACTTTGAGGCCAGGCCGCCTCACTATCGTCAGTTCGGGAACAGCCATGCACTGCGAATTGCCCGAAGCCAAGGCAGACCACATCATCTCTGCACTCGATTTAGAAGCCAATTTCGATGGCATGGGGCATTACGGGAAGTCTAAGCTTCTCGGCCACTTCTTCATCGACAGACTATCTCAGCACGTTGACCCCAGTGATGTTATCATCAACCTTGTCGACCCCGGCTTGACCAAGGGCACAGGACTTATGAACAAAGGCTCTTGGCTCATGAAGCTCGGCATGGCCATAGGAACAAGGCTAGTCGGTCGTACACAGGAGCAAGCTGCCTCATCTTACGTTGATGCCGCGATTATCAAGGGAGAGGAATCCCATGGATCGTATATTATGGATTGGAAGATCTACCCGTAAGTACTCATGTGACGCATTGTTCTACAATCGCTGATAACTTCCAGGTTCGGCTCGTACTACTACACTGAAGAGGGCAAGGGTGTTCAGGACAGAATCTGGAGGGAGGTGATGGATGAATTTGCGTTTGGTCATATGGAAGAGATTATATGTTCTTTAAAGAAGTAGCCTGCGAGTCCGTGGGATGTAGACGGACACCTTGGATTATTTTCGGACTCGGACTCGGGATAATGTGTAATGCTAGACAGGTATGGACAATTTCCTTTTGCAGACGATTATGCGACAATGTCAGCACTAGTGATCTGCGCGCATGAAAGCGGCACAGGATCAACTCTTATCATCAATCACACCCTTTTTATATAAATAATGCTCATTTGCTCATTTCTGGCGATTTTGACTGGTTTGTCATACCATATAACATCATATCTTGTTGTTCGTCCCCCGCATCTCGTCTGACAGTGCATCTCCTCTCCTCGTCTCATCTTCATCATGAACAAAGTCATTTCCGGCTCCAACGCTTTGGTAGTGGGCGGTACCAGCGGTATTGGCTACGCAATCGCCAGCCGTCTGGCAACATCCCCCAGTTACCAGTTCTCAGCAATCACCATTGTAGGCCGGACAAAGCCTCAGGTCATGCCAGCTGAGAAAGTCTCATTTCGCTCCGTCGATGCAACATCAATGCACGCCTTGAAAGAGTTCGCGCAAGAATTCCGAAGCAATAGCCAGAACAGCCCTCTTGACCTTCTCGTGATGACGCAGGGAATCATGTCGTTCGCTGGACGGACTGAAACACCTGAGGGGATTGACAGGAAGATGGCTTTGCACTACTACGGTCGTCAGCTCCTAATCAGAGAGCTGAGCTCCATTCTGAGCCAGGATGCGAAGGTTCTTCTCGTGTTGGACGGTCTCAATGGCAGTCCAGAGAAGTTGAACTGGGATGACCTCGACCTGAAGGAAACGTTCAGTCTTGCTCACGCTGCAAACCACTGTATCACCATGAATGACGCAATGGTACAGTACCGCGCACTTCAAAGCCAAGGTTCCAAACAATTCTTCGCACATGGATATCCTGGAGTTGTAAATACAGCGACACCGAAGAACTCGGCTTGGTATTTCCGAGCTGTGTCAAAGGTTGCTTCGAAACTGGTTGGTCTGCAGCCTGAGCAGTGTGCTGAAAGACAACTTGATGGACTGTACAAGGCTGCCGATGAGTTGCAATCGAAGGAGAAATCCTGGGCTTGTATCGATAATCATGGAAAGGTGATTGGAGGGAAGAAAGAGTGGAGTGAGGAGGAGAGAAGGAAGATTGCAGAGCATACTTGGGCTCTTGTGGATCGGACATGAGACGTCAGATGCGATGGGCACGACACTTTATTGAGAATGATATAGCAAAACTGGTTCAGTATTTGGAAGCTGATAATTCACCAAAAAGAAATTCAAACCTCAAGAGCTATTGAGATCTGCTTGTTCTGCTTTGTGTGCCTCTTACGCCGCCCCCATCTCGCGGAGTACCTTCTCGACAACTTCGCCCTCACAGTCAACCGCATAATCCAAAGGCGTCTTTCCAGACTTTGTTTTCGCATGAATATCTGCCCCTGCTTCGACCAAAAGCTTAGCTTTTGTCTCCGATTCACATCCGCTTCTGCAAGAAGGGTTCCCCGCCACAAGATGTAGAGCCGTCTCGCCATCATTGTTAGCCGCGTTCACTTTTCCTCCGCTCTCGATTAGAGTCTGTAGCGACGCAGTTTCTCCCCATGCTGCAGCACAATGAAGAGCTGTTGCCCCTTCATCGTTGGCTGTCTCAAGCTCAATCCCAGCTTTGACCAAGTCTCGCACTAGTTCTGGTGAGCTCTGCGCAGCGCGATGCAGAAGTGTATCACCGCCTTCGCCTCTGAGATTTACATTTGCTCCACCGTTAATGAGAAGCTTGACGCATTTTGGTCCGTCGCTCATTGCGTGATGTAGCACTGGATCCCCATTGTTGTTCACGTCATTTATATCAGCGTCAGTGTCAAGCAGAACTTTGACAATCTCGGTGTGCTCATGAGCTGCTGCAATATGCAAAGCCGTGTTTCCATAGCAGTCTCTTGCCGAGATATCTGCTCCAGCATCTATGAGGAGCTTTGCAATTTGTGTCTCCCCAAATAATGACACGACATGCAGAGGTGTTTCTTCATCGATATTGCGGCTGTCAACATTCGCTCCCGCCTTCAAGAGAATTTCGGTGATTCGCACATCTCCACCAGCAGCCGTGTTGTGCAATGGTGTGACGCCATCATAGGTTGCTGCAGAGACGTTGGACCCAGCTTCGATGAGCATTTGCACAGCTTTCTCATCGCCGAATTGGGCGGCATAGTGAAGCGGCGTGAAGTCACGAACCGTTTGTGTAGCTGATACGTCGGCACCGTTTTGTAGAAGCTCTTGTAGTCGTTGGTTGTTTTGGTGAAAAGCTGCTTGGTGCAGAGTTGTGATTTCTGCGGGATCATCGCTGGGGGCATGGCATGGACAAGTTTGCATTGGTGCGTGAGACATTGTAAACGATTTTAAAATGCTAGAGGAGGATGTTAAATTGACTTCGAAATTTTATGATATATGAGAAGCCATGTGAAAAAACGTGAATTTTTAGTTGGAGCTATCCAGGCAGCAAGTCGGTCATTGCCATTTAGAGTCTTTGATGAAGCTGAGGCTAGCTGAAACCTAGGCTCGAATTGGAAGGTATCACAAGAACTTGACGGCAACATCCGAGAGCATGCTTCTACCAGGCTTGGAGTTCGAGGAAATTCGAGTTTTATGAATAGTTGCGTGTGCTAGGTAATTTCTTGATGTGATGGCACTGTATCGTCCCTAATTGTTCCAAAATGTTGATGTTAATTATCACAAACATCACTCTTGTAGCCTCCTTGACATCGCATGATATTCTATGGTTTCCCCGTTTGCAATCCATCAAAAGTCCCAGAGAGACTGTTTGGATTGCCTTATACATACCCCAAATCCTTGAATGCCCTCTGCAGAATCTCCCGAATGACGTTCTGCTTCCTGTTATTGTACTCCATGACATCCTCCCCATTCTCAACACTTGCCTTTGCAGCCTCCCTCTTGATACTCTCATAGGCCTTCTTATCATCCTCATTCTTCCTCAACCAATCTGCAAAGATCTTGTGTCTCAACACCTCGGGGCATCCAGGCCCCCAAACATGCAGATTTGTCGGCACTGGTTCATAATCGCAGAAGAAGCGATTTCCATGCCATCCCGGCTCTCGTAAAAGAAAATGAAAGCCAACGTCTTCAAGAGCCTGTACGTAGGATGCTTCATCATTGAGGTCATTGACAGTCAGGTCAATGTCGATGACGGCTTTGGCTGGAAGGCCTGGAACGCTTGTTGAGCCGACGTGATTAATTGAGATTGCTTTGTCGCCGAGAGCAGACTCGATGCGAGCTTTTGCGCTGGTGAAGAGCTCAGGCCATGCTGGATCTGGCTCTACGATGGCGATGGGGTGTTTGTATTTGCGATGTGCAATCCTTTCGATTGGAGCGCCGTCATCGTAGTCTTTTAGCAGTTCTTCAATTGTAGGCGTCATGGTGAGATCTGACAAGGCAAAATGGACGTAAATTCTATTGACGCGTTGCTGCAGTGTGTATAGAGGGAGATAATGCTGGGTATGGCACGAGTTAGCGCAGGTTATAAATGGTGTTGGAGGCTCAGATTGACTGCGATTCTACTGTTTGGGCTGCACTAGGTCAGTTGTTTCCCCGCACCCGACGGCAACCCTCCCCCCTGCCGTGGCGGGGTGACTCACTCGCCGATGAGACGACTAATTGATTGACAGTTAACGTTTATGACATCTAAACGAAGTATATCAGCCATGGATCACTAATACCACTGGATTAAGTTATTTAATTCTTGCCATGTCGAACCGGTGTTAAACTAAATTGACTTGCTCTTTAAGATCAAGTATATGCCATGAGGTACTCCCGCACAGTAATCAAGGCTAGCAAGAGCCCATTCTCGAAACAAGGTGATTGGGAACATTATACACTTCCTCGACTTCACACGTGCATAGAGTGCTATTCATGGCTAGTGGACTCTTGAGAATGGAAGCATTGTATCTCACAGTGATCGGGTGACTCAATCCCTGCAAAGATCATGCATCTGGGCAATTACCAACACGTCAGATATGGATATGCACTGCTCGCCAAGAATGTTAAAGAACTTTTGCAAGGCTTATGTTTCCAGACAGATAAGCAACCCCGCTCCTCAATGCACTGAAGACGACCCGTTTTGAGGATTGCAAACTACAATCAACATGGCTTCAACTGCAGGCAGAGTGAATGGTCTCATGCGATCGAATGAGGCACTGCCGCTGACGGTCAACGAGCTTACGAAGCATTGGTTTACTCAGATTCTCAACAAGTGTGTTCAAAATGTTGAGGTCATCGAGACCGTCCACGGAACGGCTTCCAAGATATCGATCAAGTTGACGTTCGAGAATGGTAACAGTGACAGCGCCAGTAACGTTTGCGTCAAAGGCGGATTCAATACCGACATTCGAGAGACTTTGCCTTTCCTCTACGCCATTTACCGACGTGAAGCTGAGTTCTACTACTATCTTGCCCCAAAGCTCAAGATCCCTCTCCCGGTGGTATCATATACTGGCACAGATACTGTGAACGGACAGGGTATCGTTGTAATGGCCGATCTCAAAGCCCAAGGCTACACATTTGGTAACCCACTTGAGACATGGCCGGTTGAGAGAGCGAAGATGAGTGTCGGGCAGCTAGCTATCCTTCATGCCAGCACCTGGGGAGATAAAGGTGACTCAATTCCCTCAGTGAGCGGAACTGTTACAATCAGAGATGCAATCCTAGGTTTGCTGGCTCCAGAAGAATGGGATAAACGTTTTGCTCCAGATGCGAGACCTCCAGTCCCTAGGTTTATGGAGGATAGAGAGCGCATGACTGCAACATTCAAGGCTCTTTGGGAATCAGACTCCAAAATGAAGTGCCTCGTCCATGGTGATGCACACATTGGAAACACATTCATATCACCCACAGGAGAGCCTGGTTTTCTCGACTGGCAAATCACCCATGCTGCATCGGCCTTGCACGATGTTGCTTACTTCATCGGCGGGTCACTGTCAATTGAAGATCGCCGCACTCATGAGAAAGACCTCTTGCAGTCGTACCTCAGCACCCTGAAGCACGCGGGCGGTCCGCAACTTGAGATCGAGGATGTTTGGGAAGAATACCTACGACAAACCTTTCACGGCTTTGCGTGGGCCCTTGCTGGGCCACTGATGCAGAGCCGCGAGATTGTTGATGCCATGGTGGAACGACACTGCGCGGCGATTGTCGATCACAAGAGTATAGAATTACTTGAGGGCCAGTCAGTGTGAAAGAAACTAACAATGTTGCATATGAATAAAGTACTATTTGCAATAGAGGCGGATTCCTAAAGGTCTGTCTGATCCTGCAACAGGTGATCACCACCACCGTGCAGACATGTCTCGAATTGAGTTAGTGCCGCAATGAACCGCCCCCATTTCCACATGATGGCTTTTCCAAACATCGATAAACTTGATCTTCATTCCAACCTTGGCATACGTCTTTCTGATTTCCTCTCCAAATACATCCTTCCCGTCGATGACCGGGCCCCATGGGTAAGGTGCAACGCAAGTGTTGTAGCCAGTAAGAACGAGGTTGTTTACGACAGCAGGGTAGAATGCCCCGAGTTTGAAATTCGACCCTTGAAGTTCAGACTCGTGGGTTTCAGCGAACAAAGCTGCAATGCCAGACACCTGGGTTGCGTTGAACAAAACTGGAATGCGCACGATGTCCTCATCAGTAAGTCCAACTTCCCGCTTGAGAATCTTGATGTTGCCGTCAATCCGCTGAGCAGCCCATTCGTTGAGGTTCCTCAAGTGCGTCATGCATAGTAATTGGTCGATGGTAGGTATAAAACTGTCAATATCGTCCTTGCGTGAAAGAGCGGGAGTCGATCCATGCCCGGCCTTTTGCTTGTCTTCAAGAATCCTGATAGCTAGACGAGGATCACTGATGACTGCAACCCAACCTCGATCGTTCTTGGCGGGAATGAATTGGAGGAATTCGTCGACATGACCGACTGGGAGCCAGGAAGTATCGAGCAGAAGTGGCTTCTGTGACTCTTGAGCTTCAAGGTAAGAAAGAATATGATGGCGATCGATGTCGTCGTCGCCATGAATGAGACGTCCAGCCGGCCAGGTCTTGCCGTTGAAGGTATAGGGAGGAATGGATTCGATGTTGCCGCCAGCATCAACATTACTCTACAATGCTCCGAGATGCTGCACTACACCAACCCCAGCTTTTCGGAAATACAGAAAGAGGTGTCGACCACCCTGTCGCTCATCTCCGGGACATCGAATCATGATCCGGATAGATACTGTTCCATTCGGACCAGGCATGCTTGCGTAGCCTGGCTCGACAAAGTCTTGAATCCATCGATCACTTAGTTCCTTGAACAGGTACAGGTCCTTCTTCAAGCCAGTAGCCTTGGTGATTGAGGCAAGGGTGTTGGTGAAGTTCACAAGATAATGGTTCCGGTCTTCCCCGCTGGCGAGGACTTGTTCGACCTTTTGAAGATGATGGTGCGTGAGCACGGGTGCGACACGTAGCATGACTGTGTCAGATGACTTGGTATCTCCGACTTGAACGGTGAAGCAAACAGTGACACGCCCATCCCAACTCTCAGGACGTTTGGTGTCCCAAGTCTCGGGACGTCTGGTATATCGAGCATCAATGCCAAGGTCAAGACCAACCTCTAGCTCCCGTCGAGAGAAGATATGGTTGTTGTCAATGTACACCCAATCATTGCCTTGCTTCTGGAAGATGCGGACAGCGTCTCGCTGGGTCGCATTGGAAACTGTAACGGAACCGTTTACGTTTCCGACGAGGGCTGGGATAGGGACAGTCTTGAGGGGTGCGAGATATTCGGGGGATCTCTGGGTGTTGTCAGAAGCATCGTGGCAATCGTCAAGGTCCTCGTCGAGGATATCCGTGTCATCGAGACCCTCAAACATAAGAGCCAAACGGGAGCATCTCCGATCTGTATCGCCAATGTTGGGGAGGAAAATGGCACCGTGCGTTTCATTCCATCGTGTTTTGTCAACCGTGTCGGAAAGGCCGTCTATGTCGACTCGTCCATCGCGGTTGGTGTCAGCACGAATGTCGGCCTTGACATGAAGTTTCGGAGGACAGGCTAAAGCCAGTGGAAGGTCTGAATAGTAAGTGGTCAGAGACAGATCTGGAGAATTGAATGCTCTGTGGGGTCCATACTGCAAAGGACCAGAAGGTGAAGAGGGCGCATTGCTGCGGTGGAGGGATGCACAGAGGAGGTGGGAGTAAGAATGAGTGCTGAAGCGTGTGTCGTTTGAGCAAAAGGACTGATGCTGGTGATGCAGATAGTGCAGATGATGCGAGGGATGATGCAGAAGACGAGGCTGATGATGATGAAGTTGATGAGGCTGAATGAGAAGATTTATGGTGATGATGGTCAGGTTAGAAAGGAACTCGAGTAGTCGCAGGTTTCATGCGTTTAGGTCATTGCTTGGTTTTTAAGAGCACCTGCGTTGGGAGCTGCCCCGTTTCGTACAGACGGGAGGAGGTGGGAGATGGGTGCTCTTACCTTAACACGACTCGCCACCCTAATGGCAGCTTCTCCAGGGGCGACATGGACAAGTACGAATGAAACAAAGACAAGGAACCAGATAGTTGACAATGAAGTCAGCTTACTACACTTTGCAGCTGACGTGCCGGACTTCCTATCATACTTCTTCGAGAACCACTTCTTGGATATCAATATCAGCACTTCCTACGGACGGACAGTACTTCACTATGTAGCGATGAGAGGATCCATGGCTTGCGGTCTGGTGTTGATAGATCAGGTGAAAAATCTCTCTGCTCTAGACAAAGATGGAAGACTTGTAGTAGACTATGCGCTCGAGGCTGGTTTCGACGAGCTGGCTTCGTCTCTGTTAGTATCAGGGTCTCCTCTTCCTCGGGGCCAGGTTGCAGCCACAGGCAAAATGATACAGGATTTGACATCTAATAAAGGGCTACAACTGGCCCGACGACGAGAATTCGAGGCTGCTATCATGGATAACAATCTTGAGCAATGTAAAGTAGCTCTCAGCCAGGGTTGTTTGATCAACCAGCCTTTACCAAGCTGTCGCTCTTGCACCTCTATCTTCACCGCTATAAGAGCTCAGAAGCTCGTCCTCATCAATTGGCTGCATGGCGAGGGTGCAAGCACTAATAGCTCCTTCTGTAAGTAACACCCGACTCTGAACTTGTTTTCTTCCGCAGCTACAACTATGGACTCATCGCCTTTCATCGACAAGTTGTTATCAGTGGTTTTAGAGTCTCGATCACTCACTCGAGCACAGCTTATCATTTGGATTAACCAAACTATCAGCAATAACAAGATTAACGTCTTGAAACTCATATTGAGCCAGTTCAGAGAAATTTGAACGAATATTAGTAGATCAAACCTATGCAGTTAAGAGTACAGTTTAATAACATAGCCAGTAACGCATGGAAGGGGGAACTTGATTCTGCTCTTGGTACTTCAGTTGAAGCGTTCAAATCCGCACTAATTAATGGCCATAACCCGGTCGACTTTCCAAACAGGATGCCGCTGCAAGTTGCGTCAACTGAAAATTCTGAGATGTTGAAGTTCCTGACTCAGCAAGGAGCCCATGTAAATGTGTTTGATAAGCATCACCATACGTCTTTGATCATCGCAGCGTGCAGCAATCATGACCCTATTGTGGGGGAACTTTTGTGACACAATTCCACTGTTGAAACGAGGAACATGTTTGGTAACACTGCTATGTCATTGGCGGTTCTCATGGGCTATTTAGATACGGTAAAACTGTTAGTAGAAGAGTGGCCATCTTCATTACAGTATAGTAGCATAGACAGGTCAAATCTTCTTCACAAGGCAGCGCAGGAAAGCTCCTCACTAGTCACTTTCAAGTACCTCCTGTCAAAAGGGCTCGATATTCAGCAAAAGAACCACGACGGAATACCTATGCTTGCTTTCCCTTTGCTTCAAGGTAAATATGTCGAATATTTATCTCAGTCCCGGTGGTTCGATGGACCGTTACCTGATTGTGCACCGAGTCCAGAGAGTATTCTCAACAGCACCGTCATGCTTTGCACAACGAACCAGATCAGGCGTTTATACAAGTCCTTGCCACCGCGTGATGCAGGTGTTCTCGTAAATCTGAGGTGTAGACAACTAGTCTACTGCTAGACTTTGGAGCGGATGTGAATATGGTAGGGTCTTGGTTTGGGACACCTCTCATGTGCGCCATTACCATTGGGGATTTAGAGCTGGCCAAGCTGCTTGTCCGAAGAGGGGCCGATCTGGAGTATGCTGATGAGAGCGGAGAAATGGTTAGTGGTCTTAAGAAGAGTCTACCGCATCCCCACATCACTCGGTGGTTATTTGTTGGGAGGTTCCAAGATCAAAAGAGGCTGGGAGATAAAAGCCTTTAATGGTGAGTGCGCCATTAGGCCATGGAGTGGCAAAACAGAGTACACGACATTACTGAAAGGCGCTCATCGACGTCGTTGGGAAGAGTTGACTCTTGACTACTGTAAACGACTTGCTGAATAAAAACGAATATTGAGAGGCATTACAGCTTTCATGGAGTTTGTTTAGGAGTAGAACACTAGAATTATAAGTACTTTCTGTCCACGTTTGCCATGAAATTATATTCCTATTTACTAGACCAATATCTTTACGCTTGCTCCAGCTGACTGACCTCCACCTCCCGCTTCATCTCAGCCTTCTCATCCCTCGCCAAGATAGCCTCATTATCTGGCGCCAGCTTGTTTCCATAGCGACCAATCTTGTACCAAGGTAGAGAGAACAGCTCATCGGTGCTCTCAAGTGATCGTCCGGCCATCTCAGGAACAAATGCCCAAACCCAGATGAGACCGAGGATACAGACGGCAGCACAGAAGAAGAAGAATCCACTGCTGGTCATGTGAAGCAGCATAAGCGGAACAGCCTTGGTGTTACCGTACTGGTTCGCAAAGTGAAGACACATGGTGATGGAACTACCCAGGGCACGAAGGCGAAGGGGCCAGATCTCAGCGTTGACTAGATACTGGAACGAGTTCCAACCCATGGTCCAGCCGACACCAGAGATGTACAGCATTGCAATTGCGCCAACGCCAGCATGTTTCTGGGTGCTTGTCAAGGTTCCATCCTCGAGAGTCTTGGTACCAACGATGGCGAGGAAGATGGCAATGTACAAGACTGAGATAGTCTGAAGAGTAATACCAGCATACAGAGATCGACGTCGACCGATGAAGTCGACGAGGAAGAAAGCGCACGCATAGGCAGAGACCAGCTTGACGACACCGAGAATGCAAGTAGCGAAGAGCTTCTCGGACTGACCAGACTTTCCGAGAACACCAAAGAACTCAGCGGCGTAGATGGTGATGGCACTGGCGCCAGACCATTGACCCAAGAGCTGGGCCATAAAGCCAAGCATGAAGCGGTAGCGGTTGGCGGGGATTGTAAGAAGTTCACGGATCTTGCCCCATCGGGAGACACCGAGGATGGCCTCTTGCTCTCGCTCAAGTTGCTCGCGAATGCCGTACAACTCGGCTTGGACGAAAGGATGGTCTTCGGGGAGTTGTCGGAGCTTGCAGAGAGCCTTGGTACTCTCTTCATTTCGACCCTTCATGGTGAGCCAGCGAGGGGTTTCGGGGACGGTGAAGGATAGGATGAGAAGTAGTCTACCGAAGGTTAGCCGTTGAACATAAGAGCTAGGAAAGTTTACATACCCAGAGAAGCCAATGTGGCATGTTTGAGGTGCAACCCATTGGTATCGAGATGAGTCAGGCATGTTGATGGAAGCGCCCCAGTTGCTAAAGTACGCAACCATAACACCAAGGTAGACAGAACCAGCGAAAATGTTCGTGAGCATACCACGCACAGCCCGCGGTGCAGTCTCAGCAAGGTATGTTGGACCAACAACTACAGTCATGCCAATACCCAGGCCAGCAATGAAGCGTCCAGCTAGAACCTGTCCCACGCTTCCATGGCTCGTAACAACGATGATGAAGCCTACAAGCCACAGCACACAAAGGAATTGAAGTGATCTAACACGACCAATCTTATCGCAGAGGAAGAATGCAAGGAGTGAACCAGCAATAGAACCGATCTGAACCATGCTGGTGATGTTGGACTCGACTTGGGCTTGATGTTCTTCGGATCCGTGATTGAGGCCGAATTCGTCTTTGAAGCTCTTCAGCGTGACCATGCCTCCGACGAGACCTTCGTCAAGACCACGACTGGCACCTAGAACACCTTTCGAAGAAGTTAGCAATTGTCAAATCACCGACTGGGGCAGGCAGACGAACCGAAGACAAAGGTACTCCAGTATAAGCGCCAGTTCATAACCTCGCTAGGCGTATCCGCCATAGCGGCTCTGTTTCCAAGGGTGAACTTCATCTTTGCAGAATTTCTCAGCGATATCCTACTCGACACAAAGGTACGGAACATCAAAACATGTCCAAGGAGAAATAGGCATTGTATTTATGGTTAAGAAATATTGGGGATCGTCTCTACGACCAGCGGGGAAATACGGAGGCTTCTCCACGGTCTAGGCGTACTCTCCGCACCCTCCAGACGGATATCTCGTGCCGATTGCGGGGAATTCGCCACTTTATTTCTCCTCATTCCAACGGCATCACCGCGGAGATACCTATTTTAGTTCCCCGATAAAATTGTCCGTCCAATTGCAGCGAGATGATGACTGCTAGTGCTTCCCCGCATCTCACAGTGAGACACGGAGATATCCACGATGGCTTCGAGAACCAAACTCGGGACTTGCCATTGCATCTTTTTATAGAGAAGGAGGCTGTGAAAGGTGATAGGATGTTTCAACTACAGAAGATCTCGTATTGAGTGCTTTCATTGTACAAGTTATGACAGTTCCCGTCAAATGCCTCTACCCCAAATTATGGTGCCTTTTCGCACTTCTTCGCGGGTTCAGCCAAAGATCAACACGGATATCCGGCACATGGAAAGTGGATAGTGGAGTACGAACCGCCCGCAAACCCAAAGGTTCCCTGCTGAAAGAACAAAATTGAAGGGACAGACCGATAGTTCTAACCAATGGATTGTGTTTAATTACTGACTGCTTCTCAATGTTACATCTACTCGTGCGAGAAGACTCCGAGTTCACCCTGGAGATGCCGTGATGTGGGAAAGCATTCTGCCGATATGTGTAAGCAAGGTTTGGAGATGAGAAAAGGTCGAGCTATGCTTCTATTTAAGCTTCCCCAGAGATGAATGTCTGTTTGGTCGTTGTAGCGTTGAGTTGGGGTGGATGACGAATGGCATCCTCTGTTCATTTGGAGTTTCGCTTGAGGGTTTTGTATGAACTTGTGGTTTATAGCTGTTAATAAGACCAGTGAAGAACTTATGACAAAAGTTCGGCTTGTGCCGTTGCTAATTATAGAGGCAACTTATGCGGACTGGAGGAGTACAGGGTAATCAAGAAACATTATTTGCAGTAACCAATAACTCGCGCCATCAGGATCTGAGCTCTTGGGTCTGTTGAAAAATACCCAGTTATTCTTCTCACTTATATAAGAGATATTTCGTGATGTAGGTCTTGCTTCTGTTGGTTGATTCCTAGGTCAAACTGGTTTCGTCAAGCTTCAGAACAAAAAGTCGACCAAATTCCAGGCGCGATGTTAGACCAACAAGTTGACGCTCATATCGGCCGTATTCTGACCACAAATCCCCTATGAGACCGTATCCAGAATAATCTTAGCCTCACATCATGCAGTGCTATCTCTGTTCCTGAGCCATTTCCCCTATCATAATAACGCGAAGCATTTTCCTTTCTAACACTTGGTGATGGCCGACAAACACAACCAAGACTTCAGCTGCCCCCACCCAAAAATGATGTCAGTGCCCTGAAACTGGATCCCAGCCTCCCAACAGCCAATCATTGGCACGAACATGGCAAGCTTTCTCGATTAGGCAATTCAAAAGATCAAGGCATAACGATGATCGACATTGTCTCATAAGGCAAAGCCCAAAACAGCAAACCGTGTTGTCTGCCGCTGTCAACTTATCTCAAAATGGACTATCAAGACCTCACCCTGGTTTGATCTGCGGCAAGGCAGCGTCAGACAGGTCTATGACCTCTACAGAGACGCAGTATAAAGGCTGGCTTCTGAACCCCAGAAGTTAAATGACCTGGAGAGATTCTTAGTATCATTGGCAAACATGTCTTCTGATAATTCGACTTTGACAAAGGAAAAAGAGCCTGAAAAGGGACTCTTTCGATACTGGAAGCCATCCACAACGAATCAGCCTCCTCCTGATGGTGGACTAACAGCATGGCTCCAAGTCCTTGGCTCTTTTTTAATAAACCTCAACAACTTCGGCTTAGCAAACAGCTTCGGCGTGTTCCAAACATACTACGAAACGACTCTCCTTCGACAGCATTCTTCGTCTGCGATATCATGGATCGGTACCCTCCAAGTATCCTTGATCCTCATCATCGGTGTCTTCTCCGGTCCGCTCTTTGATCAAGGATACTTCTATCCCATCCTCGTCGTCTCGAGTCTCATGCTCACCTTTGCACTTATGATGCTGAGCTTATCGACGCAATACTATCAAGTCATGTTGACGTGGGGTGTCCTTGGAGGCATATGTACTGGGCTGTTGTACATCCCTAGCGTTGCTATGATCCCTCTTTACTTCACGACGCGCCGCGGTCTGGCTCTTGGCTGTGCGACGGCGGGAGGCTCCTTCGGCGGTATCATTTACCCCATCGTAGTCCGCCGCTTGCTGGACTCAGGTGGCTTTGGTTGGGCTTGCAGGACAATTGGTTTCATTACCTTCTTCACGCTGACAATAGCTGCCATCCTCATCAAGCCCAGCACACAAGCAGTCAAGAAGCCAACACGACAGCTCTTCGACAAGTCTATCATCAAGGACAAGGCCTTCATTTTCTTTACGTTGGCATCCTTCTTTATATGGTTGGGCTTCCTCGTGCCATACATCCTTACTCCCTCTTTTGGTCTTTTGGGTCTTGACCATCCCGTCTCGGAGGACCTTTCGTATTACATGTTGTCCGTTCTCAACGCCGCCCAAGCTCTAGGTCGAATCTTACCCGCAGCCATAGTGGACAAAAAGATCTTGGGAGCGGAGTCTATCCTCATGTTCAACGTCATGGTATCTGGCGTCCTTGCTCTGTGCTGGATTGCGGTCCACAATTTGGGCGGCTTCACTGTCTTCCTTATCCTATATGGCTTTTTCTCTGGTGCGGTCACGACTTTGCCTGCGTTCATCATCCCCTACCTATGCCCTTCACTAGCTGTCATCGGCACTCGAATGGGCATCGTCTACGGTGCGGCTGGGTTTGGAGCATTGATTGGGTCTCCGATTGCGCTGGCGGCTGATGAGGCCCACGGCGGTCAGCATAACCGTGCATTCCTGGGTGCGCAGATTTGGAATGGCGTGACCATTCTTTTCGCGTCATGTCTTTGCGTGTATCCTCTCTGGGAAGCTAGAAAGCGACGGCACATGAAGGAGATGGCTGATGCTAAGGCAAAGCAGGGTAGTAACAGTGCTTAGATTTATCAAAAAGGGAATAGAAGGAGAGGTTCCTTTCAATCTTTGGATGTTTGAGCGTTGTCAGTCTCAAATTCACGAACTTCTACCAGGCCACGACCCAAACAACAAGTCGGCTTATGACCCTCAATCTGCCCGTGCACCGACTGCCAAAAGCAATTAATTGGAGTGCAGGTAGTCTCTTCTTATACCAGTCACGTAGTTAGTCATCTGAACTCTAGTGTAGCAAGTTTGTGGCATAGAAAATAGGCTCGAAGGCGAAAGCGATGAGATTGCTGAACAGAAGCGCTTCGGTGAAAGCATGGGGACTGTGTTGCAGCCTGTACTTCTTTCCAGGACTAAAGAAATAATAACAATGAATATTTCCTCATCATGAGATTCGTGCTTCTTTGGCATGTCTGCTCTGAATAGTCTTGTCTTAGCCGTCGAAATATCCTTGTGCACCGACCTGCGCAGATGCATTGAGTCATAGGCATAAGATTCAGTCAGCAGTCTCATTAAGAGGGCATATCGAAAAATCAGGCTGCACAGTTCAACAACGTGATTGGTTATTGAGACGCCAAGGCAGACAACAGGGCAGCTTAACCCCTCATCTAATTCCTGCTGTTGGAATGAACAGCTTTGACATTTCATTGCTGACCATTTGATATCAAGTTTGTTGACACGGTTGATCACCATGGACCCTCTGCCTATTATCGCCAGTATTGCAGGCATTGCAACGGCAGGTACATCACTCTCAAAAGCGATATACCACTTTATCTCCTCGACGCGCGGTGCCTCGCGTGAGATGGCTGACATAGCGCGCAATATCTCAGATCTATCTTGTATTCTTTCAGAACTTCGTCGCGTACTTCAAGAGAGTGCCGATCTGTGCAGTCGCAAGCTTCTTCGTCGGATAAAGTCGGCAACTCGGCGTATTTCCGCGATACATGATGACATTTATGAGCTCATGGACAGCATTAAGGGCTTTCAAACCTTTAGATGGAGCCTGAGGCGGTCAGAAGTGCAGTACAAGCTTACGCTCATTGAGAGCCATAAAACTGCTATCCAGTTGATGCTCAACATTTTAATTCTTGCAGCGAGAACAAGAAAGGAAGCACAGTTAGTAGTCTCTCGAGTCATATTATGATACTATGATGGCCAATATTCTTTTGCAGATCTCAAGTTACTCAGACAACTTCGGCCAGCGAAGATAAGCCCAACGAACCAGCGTCAGAGCTCCCTCTCCTTCGCCAGCAGTCGGAGACTCTCGCCTACGCAGCCTCTCATTGTCTTGTTGATCTCTCGGAAAACCAGGATTTTGAGACTAGCCGAACATCAAACCAGCCAAAGACCGATTACGGCAGTGATAATGACGATGCCACGGGGCAGGTCCAGATCCGTGGCCATGGATCATCTGACGGGACAGGCAGATGGCTTTTTGAACTTATCTTCGAAAACTACCCTAAGAACGGTAATGATTCAGAGACTAATGAACAGGATAGCGGTGGAAAAAATGAGAGTCCAGCGTCTGATAGAACGGACCTCGTGGTGCGAACGCCAGCGGAATTGCAGATAGCCATTTACGAACCGGGAGCAGGTCAAATTCTTATCGACAGACTTTTAGCAGACTGGACATGTCTTTCTAACCCCGAGGTTACCAGGACCTTTGTGCGCAAACCTGAAACAGAAAATGTTAGACCTCGTAGTCCCGCTTCCGCACAAAGCGATGCAGTCATCCGTTTCAAAGACGCCGTGGGTCGAAAGTTCACGTTTCCATATAACCTTATCAAGAAATGGGAGGCATGTTGTATCTTCCTATCTCGACAACGTCTTGATACTGACTGCCGCAGGGCATGGAGGAGGTTATCAGACAAGCGTTCGTGCAAGTCGAAGGGCTTTACCAACCCGTCCTTGCACGCCATTATATTCTTATGGGCCCTGACGGTAACATGATATACCCAGTAATGTGGGAAAGCACTGTTGAACCAGGAATGGAAATTATAATGCTCATGTCGATGCCGTCTTCCTTTTATCCTAATCATAAACCGAATCTTGAAAGTAAGAAGGTCAAGGTTCCTGCGAGAAGGGGAGAGAAGCTTGAATCAAAGAATAAGGAGCCTTCATCTTTAGTATCTTTTTTGATGGGTCGCGGGGAGTATAAATCTCATCATCGATAGCCGACGTTGATGATACGCTAAGGGTCTTGGAAATGTATACGAGATCAGCGAATTGGGAGATCCATGCAGATTTCTTGTAAATGCCATAAATATTCTAGCACTACTCAACTAACTGAGCCTTTGTGTACGTGGTGCTCATGTGAGGTGATTCGAACTAACAAAGTCCTACATATCAACCCCATTCAAAGTGATTCTCAACAGCATAGTCGATTTGATCTCTTTTGCTCGCGCCTGAAGCTCTTGAGCGTCCCAGTTCGCCCAGACGAACTTGCCCTTCAAGAACTCAGATTCCTCTGACGCAAGCCATACCATAAAGTGAGCTGGCAGCTCCACTGATCTTGTTAGTTTCGGACGTAATAATGGGAGACGAATATGGGGGCAAACCTGTATCGAAACCAACACTGAGGTCGGGATTGATTCCTGTCGCAATGATCCCAGGTTGGATGCTAACGACATGGATATGTGGGTTCTCGAACGCGAAGTAGTCAACCATCTTCAAAGCGGCTGCCTTGGCGGCGGCGTAACTGAACACACCAGGGACTTCAGCCATTGGGGTCCAGTGACCTATCCCAGAGCCGACGTAGATGACCTTTGCACCTGGGGCTGCGAGGGGGAGAAATGCTTGGAGAGAGTTGAAGATGCCGATGACATTAATCTCAAGACCTTGGCGGAGCTGAGCTTCGTCATAGCCGTAGACTGGACCAGCCTTTGGTAACATGCCAGCATTGGCGATGAATATGTCGATCTTGCCAATTTTATCAACGATGTTCTTGAGCGCGGTGCTTATGGACTCAAGCTTGGTGGCATCGCCAGTTTCGAATAGAACCTGGGCCGAGGGGTTGGCAGCTTGAATAGCCTTTAATGAAGTTTCGAGACATTCAACCCTTCGGCCGACAATGGCGATAGATTTGGCGCCAGCTTGAGCAAAGGCGATGCCAGTAGCTTGACCAAGTCCGGTGCCTCCACCAGTGATGACAACGTTCTTGCCAGCAGCTGAGAGCTCCGGTCTTGTTGGTGAGATGAATGGGTATGGCTCAGCATGCCAGGACTTGGTAAATGATGTGAATCCTGGTAGTGGGAGAGGTGCCATTGTGTAGGGGGAAAATGGAAGAAATTGGCAAGTAGTGAATAGGTTGCTGTTGGGGAATTTTCGTTCCTGGGTGCGACAATTATATAGGCACCGCACCCCCGTATCGGGTGGATACTAATAAAGCAGAACAGGTTTATTTCTATTTCATTCATAAGCATGATGTCTGTTATTCTTCCGCGGAACATCTCTTCAACGTTATATCTATGATATGATTCAGCTGGCTGTTCCGCGGAGGATGGGGTACGGCATCATGGCAACATGTATTTAAAAGACACCACAACATGTTGCACGGATGAGGCACGTAGGGCTAAGCATCATCTCAATATAAGCGTTTTATGAATGATAAATCTATTGCTATCTTCACTCTGATATCATTTAAATTCTCAGCTACATGTTGCTTCTAGCCAATCCACATTCTGTACAGCATTCCGAAATGACATCTCGCGGGAGTTCTTCAGCAGCTCATCCCACGAATGACGTAAACGCTTTAGTTGTGGAAGCGGTGCTTGCAGGATTATATCATCCAGAAAGCTAAACGCGGGGTCGATCAACTGATCATCTGTCCCGGCCTTTGTATGCCAAGGGTTGAAGAGGCTATTGGCTGTTAGGCATACCGCCGCAGAGATGTAAGTACATGCAGTCATCCTAGAAGCTCGAGATTAGCTGAACTGCCAGTAGATTGAAAGAAGGGGCTTACCAGATAAATGCAGGATCTTTACGATTAATAGCTATGAACAGTTCGATGTATTCGCGAGACTCATGAACAAGCTTATGCCAACCCACTGGCAACCGTGGAGCTGTAACTGCCTCTTGCTCGACTGCTTTTCTTCCAAAATCTTGAAGACTTGGTATCCATTGTGCTTCCATGGCATGAGCTTTGCAGACAACACTTCGACAAGTGAGATGGCTTGAGTACAAAACACCAAAGGCCCTCTGTAGGTTTGCATTCCCGCTTTGAGTGATGGCACTGGGAGAAAACTCGAAAGGGATTCGAGCAAGCCAATCATCTAGCATCTGGTGAATTCGGGTCACGTTATCAAAACGGACGTAGACGTCGGATGCGGTGGGGGACTTGGATAGCATTGCTTCATAAACTTCGCCTTGTATATGGGCAAGTTGCACACGTGACAGAAAGAAGCTGAAGCTAGATAAATTGTCAGCTGTGTATAGCATACCAGCTCCATCAGCGGGTGTAGCCGATGGCCAATCAATGCTGATGTCATTTTGGCTCTGAATAGGAGGTAACTTTGTGCGCATCGATATGTCTCGGTCGAGGATATAAGCGATCCAGAAGACTCGATCTCGCTCCAAAGTTTCGGAAGCACTCAGATGATCAGAATTTGATCTCGAATGCAGTTGCAGCCCGTGAGCAAGACGCAAAGCAATGGGTATCAGAGCCGAAGCTGGTTTTAAGTCTGATGTCGCTTGTAACAACACGACCATCCCGACAATGGTTTGGACGTCTAGAAGACTTGAATCTCCCAACATGATATCATTAAGAACTGATTGAGCCTTGTTCATAAAGTGCAGGGTACTGTAGTTGGGTGGCTTCTCCTCGTCTGGGATATGGCGATATGCTAGGGAGAGAACCACGTTGATGGCCGCCCAAGTCGATGTATCTCGCTGATGGGGCTGCTCATACCATGAATTGACCCGGGATAGAAGTCTCTGTGGATGAAAGAGGGGGAGGATAGTGTTGAAAGTTGCAAGGAATTTGTTGACTCCGGATAAGACCTCGTGTTGAGGAGGTAACTCAAGGCCCAAATCAAGAGAAGCCCTTCCAGAGTAACTGACGTCATATTCGCCCAGACGGGACCGATCACCTTGGCTAACAATTTTCTGTGTTAATCGTTCTTCAAGCTCCTTTATTCTTTGCTGCGCTTCATCAAGACTCGTCTCAAGCGATTGCACCTGAGACTGTAAAGCCGCCGCGGTCCTCTCGGGTTGTTTTCTGATTGCAGCTTTACGACTCGTAGCTTGAAAAGTACAGTCGGATTTATACAGAACGCAATGGGAACATCGAGGTTTCTGTCCGTCGCACCGAATCCGCTTGCGGTAGCAGACGTCGCAAGCCTGTCAGATGCTGTCAGCATTTTTCCTACCTTGGCCAGGAAGACACGGCGGCAAACCTTTCTGGTCATTTGTGCTGGCGGCATGTTTAACGCTATGGTTAAGAATGAGGGAAGGAAAAATGAGTGATTGGGAGAGTTGATGCTGACATGGGCTTATCTTGTCTTCCGCGGAAGCAGTGCTGACAAATTGATCTCTATTCTGATTGGATGCGCTTTGAGGCTAACTTGCGACGGATGACGAATGATATGGTCTATTTCAGCTCTATCTGTTACAACTCCTTTCCTCAACACAAATCCATCTAAAAACAACTCTATCCCAACTAACATACATACACCAACTACCCGATACACATACAGAAACTGTCCAAACACGAACTCCTCAAGATCACTCGTTCCTTAACTCAGACGTCACCTTGCTGGTTAAATGGTCCATCCATCAAGAGCCTCAACATCGGTATAAGCAGCGAGGTTGATGTAGTGAACTTGGCGTGTTCCACCACGACCAAACTGCTCAGCCGTGCTGTTCAGCAAGAAAGCCGAGGTAGAAGAGTTCAAGTTGAGCAGACCAGGAAATTGCTTGTTGAACTTATTAAAAATAGCCTGAGGCGTAAAGTGATCAAGACCCTTGGCCTCAATCTCCTTCTGCCAATACTTCAGATAAGTACGTGTATGATCAACATCAATTGAGCAGCCAAACTTCTTGTTAGACAGACTGTGACCGGGAATGACGACATTTGGCTTGAGGTAGTCGACCAAATCGAGGGTTGACAGCCAAGATTCTGTGAGGGCCTTGGTTAAAGAATCGGCGAGCCAGAGGTGCATGTCGTGACCGTACACGGAGTCTCCAGCAATCAAGGTCTTGATAGAGGGGATCCAGAAGAGTGTTTCGTCGACGGTGTCGCCTGTGAGAGGGTTCAAGAAGTGGATTGGCGTGGCTTCGTCGCCGGGCAGGGTAAAGAAGGAGAAGTCGTAAGGCGTAGGAAGATGAACCTTGTTGACGATGGACTTTTCACCCAGAACACCCTTCATCAGCTTGACCTGTTCAATGTTAGTAATTGCCACCATCATGGTATCGTCCTTCGTACCTTGTGAGCTGCCTCCTTCTTGATCTCAGCCGCAGCCTTGGAATTGGCATAGTACTTGGCCTCCGGAAATCGCGACAACAGTGCACCACCACTGAGGTAGTGATCAGGATGGAAGTGAGTGGTGAATGCAGCGACAAGTGGCTTGTCGGTCGTGTTGCGAACCCAATCGGCGAGGGCTTCTGCTCCTTCAATTGCCATGGGCAGGTCGATCAGTACGGCGGCTTGAGAGCCAATGATCAATGAGGAGACCATGTCGAAAGAAGAGCCATGGTTGATAAAGGTTTCAACACGGAGACCGGAGTGGTTGATTGCTCTGGCGCTGATCAGTCCAATCGACTGCAGTGCCAGGACGATGGTTGTAAGACGCATGATTGGGGAAGATATTGAGAATGTTTGTAAGTTGACTTGTAGGTCTTTGCTGTGATTGCTTGATCGATTGCTGTGTAGATGTTGTTTTTGATTGCGGCATGGTAGTTCTATATATACAAATTCGTGATGTTTCTCAATTTACTGAGCTTCGACATGTCGTCAATGCCACTTAGAAGCAAAGTGGGAGGCATCGTGAGGTAGTGGGTCCATTTCTAAGCCTTAACTCCACATCTCCCCACTGCGGCATTCGACTGGAACACCGAGATCAATCTACCGACTCATAGCGCATCAAGTACCGCATTTCTCCGTCTAATGAATTGACGCTCTCATAGGAAATAAATTCCATAGTGTTGACATGGCGTCAAAGCACATTGCATCCATCCAAGTAGTGTTAACAACTGTCGCCATCCACACAATGGTACTGTACCTCGTATACCAATTCCATACGCTGAAGTTATCACAACCTACTTGACGACAGCACAATCGTAGTCTATGCTCTCATCGTGACCGCTCTTTGGCATTTTTCTACTCATTTGCTTCAGCGAGCAGTATGATGGGGTAGCCGGGTATGAGGCGCCGGAATGAGAGACGTCGCAAATACAGAACCCATAGAGCCTAGGCAAGAATTAATTAAAGGCTCCAATGACGAGCGACGGCAACCGTTCCCGAAAATGACTTCGTCCAGACCGTTGGAAGCCCGCAAATTAAGCTTTATTAGACTGGTCTGTCGTTGGCGTCTGTCAGGGCGGCCGCCAACGAACATGACCCTGGACACAGCAAAAGAAATCACCGGTTTGTCATTACCGAGCGGGATAGCTTCATCGGATATCCGACGCTTTCAGAAGGAGTGGAGCAACCTGATACCTAGACTTTGTTCGTGAATAATTTCGTGTATCTACACAACAAAAAATCCCATTTGGCAAAAGAAATGTCCGTCTTCGCCCAAATCCTTGCAACAACATCTAACAGTTCCTCGGTTGGTATGGCTAAAAAGAAGTTAGCTCACCGACCCATTTAAAGACTTTTGAAGACTTACCAGGCGCTTGGGAGGGGCATCGATCCAAGCTGACATTTGGTATTGCTGATTATCTGCAGGCGTCCAGGATAAGTCGTATTTGACCGGCTGCATATACTGGGTAAAGTTCATGGGGTACCCTGGATTGTAAGGAGATGCTTCGTGAATCTCATCTATGTCCGCTTTCGAAAGTCTAATCTTCAGGGCATCAGGCATAGCCTTGATATGTTCAACCGTATTGACTCCTACGATGGGGAACACGTATGTGGATTGGTGGAATAGATATGCCAATGCCTCTTTGAGTCAGCTCTTCGCTCGACATAAGCACAATCTCATGAACTTACGATAGCCTGTAATGTAGTTCCCTTCCGGTCGGCGATTCTTTCCAGGGCCTCGCTGGTCTTTATCGCGACCTCCGATATCTGAGACTTTGGTGCATCTGGATCAGCCTCTCTTTCTTTTCTTTGCTGGGCTGTGAGTAGCGACCCAGTGCCCAGTGATCCCCAGGACACAATCGCCATGTCCTGGTCCTCGCACATTGGGATCACATCGCCTTCCATGTCGCGAAAAGCCGCATTCCAATTGCCCTGATAGATGGAGAATGGAGTCAAGCCATGCTGTTTCGCGTCTGTCTAAATTAGCACCATTATTCATCGGCAGGGCTGCGAGACTTACAGGCATTGGCTTTGACAACAATCCAGGATGGGGTATTGCTGATACCAAGGTAAAGGACCTTTCCCTGCATAACGAGAACATGAAGACCTCTCATTACCTCCTCTACTGGCGTCGCATAGTCCCACCAGTGAACATACAAAATATCGATGTAGTCTGTCCTCAACTTCTTCAAACTGTCGCGCACCGAGACATGCATGCTCTTTGCAGAGTTACCTGTGAAGTTTGACTGTAAAGGCTCAGGATTGTCGCCGAACGCACGATAACCTGCAGTATACTTTGTCGCAATCACCATTTGATCTCTGACATCGCGTTCCTGCATCCACTGTCCGATGAGTGTCTCTGACATCTGGTTGTTGTAGTTACTCGCGGTGTCGATAAAATTGCCGCCCATATCGTAGAAAGCATCAAGGAGGGCAAATGGCTCTTCATTCTTGCCGGTGTAGAATTTCCACTCGTGGCCGATGCTTATGCCACCGAGACAGATTGGTGAAACCTTGACTCCAGCCGTGGGGGAGAGGATGCGATGGAAACCAAGAGGGGTCTTGGGCTTGGGGGCAGTTGGGAATCCCATAGCTTCAAAATCGTGCGAATGGGTAGAGTATAAGATTACGAAGATATTTGAAATGATAGTTGGAAAAAGATCTCGAGAAATTTGCTGTTTAAAAAACCCACACTTGAGAATGTCATATTGAATGATTATATTCCGATCGCATCATATACTGCATGCCATCTGCACTAATGCACCTTGCTTACACGCTACAACCACTGTGATTTTTGGCGCTAATGCAAGTTGCTGATACAAAACTGGGGCTTCTACTGAGTTACAGGCGATTGGCAATGACATGTCCGAAAATGGGACATCTTTTGAATAGATATGGTGTCTTGAAGATGATGAGAAGATACTTATATTTGTTTCTATAGTCGAAGGAAGAGTCGTGTCGAGAAAAGTTGAGGGTGTTGTCTGCATTGAGCATATGACCCAGAGAAGTAAACAAAAACACGCCAAGAATGCGTTGGCGCGACCAATGAGGATACGAAAGTCTTTATCTCATACAGGCTTTAAACGAGGTTCTCCTGGAAGAATTCGTTGAGCTTAGAAAAAGGAATAACCTCAGTGCGATCATAAAGATCGGTATGACTAGCTCCACGAACCCAGTAAAGCTCTTTAGGTTCACCAGCCGCACGATAAGCGTTCTCGCTAAATTCCCTCGAGTGCGACTGATCGCCAGAGATGATGAGAAGTGGACGAGGGGAGATAATTTCAATGTCGTTGAATGGATAGAAGTTGAGGAACTTGACGTTGGTGATGAGTGAAGGGTGAGTAGTCTGGTTGCGCTGCCATCCCTCGGGAGTAAACTCGCCGCGAACGGTGCGGTAGAAGTCGAAGAACTCACGGGCGACATCATCAGACTGGCTTGTGAGTTCGTTTGGAGTGCCAACGACGTATCCAGTCGGTGCTCCGTCGACTTCAGCCCATCGACGCTGTGATGCATTGGCGATGATTGCTCTGCGCTGCTCTACCGACGTAGCTCCTCTCAGACCCTGGCGATTCACGGTGCCCATGTCATACATGGAAACAGTAGCGATAGCTTGGATCCGAGCGTCAATCTTGGCCGCATTGATGACAAATCCCCCGCTTCCACAAATTCCAAGCGCACCGATGCGATCGCGATCAACAAAGTTGTAAGTACCCAGATGATCGACCGCAGCGCTGTAGGCCTCAGTATAGAAATCGGGCGATACGATATTCTGGGAACCGTCGCTTCTGCCCCAGAAGGGGAGATCGAGGGTCAGGGTGATGAAGCCCTCCTCTGCCAGCTTCGTAGCGTACAGGTTGGCGGACTGTTCTTTGACCGCGCCCATGGGATGGCCGACGACAATGGCGGGGGAGCTGGCATTGAGGCTTGCGTTCCTGGCGGTGAAGAGATTGCCGACAATGGTAGTGTTATAAATAGTGTTGAAGTGGATGGGCTGGATAGCGACGTCTTCGCTACGGTAGAAGTTGTCGGCGCCGTAGGAGAGGTTCTGCGCGGAGGCTGGCATCACAGCTGCAAAGGCCACGATGCCTTGGGCCGCGTAGTTGAGGATGGACTTCATGACGGACTTTTTCAGTGTAGTCACTGAATGAGAAGTGTGATGATGGATGTCTCCAGTCCACACAGGAAATAATAGTTATATATTCCTCATATCCTGTATGTCTATGTTCCCACGTTGAAGATGCGTCATGACAGTGGATGAACCAAACCAGGCCGCGTACTTCACCATCGTCAATTTCGAGGCTTGGCTATGCCAAGCCGTTCCAGTTGATAAGTTTTGCCGAGCGTTTGTCCGATGTATTCTTAAAATCATCAAGAGCAAGGCAAACTTGTGCAGGCGGAGACAAGAATTGTGTCTGTGTTACCGCCGGGAGTGGATCCTTAAATGTCAGCAACTTGCATTAGCGCCGGGCCTCAAGCGGGATGGAAGATTCCAAGGCACGTCATTACACGGGTTGCCATTCAACCTTAATCAAATAGTCTAAACAAACGCCCGAGGGCTGTGCAGTGATAATCTGCAGACTGCTGAGCCTTTATGATCAAACTCTACCCCCCGTCAACAAACCATCGCTCTGCCGCGGCGTGTTCATCAACGGATAATACTCCAGCCCACTCTCCTGGCTCGGCATAGACGGCGGTACAGCATCATGTACCTGCCCAACATCAGAGCATCTCTCACACGGAGCCGTCTCCTGATTCTTCTTACCAAGACAGAACTCCGCTGAAAGCTTATAGAGTTGCCATACAACTTGGAGTAGCACAAGATCAGCTACAATGATAGCAACGATGAGATTCCCCGCCGGTTTGAGCCGCGGGACCTGACAGATGTACGTTGTCGCGATGACAGATGGCGTAATACCCAGGCTCCCCGTCGTTTTCTTCAAGGCGCTGTAACTGTCGTTTGCGGGACCTGATCTCAGATTCGCCATGCGGGCCGTTGAGAAGTTTTCCGTGTAGCGTGTCAGCAACTTGGTGTCAGTGAGGATGTTGGATTTGGGGCCTGCTTTCTGCCCGAGATCAACGAGTATTGTGGAATAAGCCGCTTTTGCTAGAGAGTCTGCTTTTGTCCAAATATTCGGGTAAGTGTCGCTCTTATCTAGGGCCTTTGCCGTTAAGGGAAGCGGCAGACTTGGGCAACAGGCCACTTCATTGATTCTGCTACCGTAGAAACGATAATCGAGGCTGAAGAAGCCGGGGTCATCAATACGAGGGTACGTGTCGTTGATCATGAAAGAAACGGTCCCCTTGTTGAGTTCTATCTTGTCATCATCGTCTTTGATAGCCCCGCGCTGATCCTGGAGCATCAGTGTCACTTCTCCCCAGAACGTCGACATCAGGGACTCGCCCCACCAGAGGCTAGCTTGCGTTGTCTTATTGCGGCTAAGGAACCCAGTACCGAGAAACTTGCCGAGGCTATCAAAGGAGACGGTCTCAGGAACGTAGTCGTAGGTTTGTGTCATATTGAAGAAGACTTCTCCAGCGGGCGTGTCAATCCTGCACGAGATGTACGACCGTATAACTGCGCCCCATTCGCAAAAGCCGATCTGTTTTCCGGCTCTGTCTAACGAATCAAAGTCGATTTCCACGGAATGAACAGAGCAGTCCTGCAGGATATTTCTGTGATACGTGAGGGCCGGCGAAATGACTCGTTGTTCTTCTTTTCCCTTCTCCCAAACGCTTGTCAACGTGTACGTCAACGCCGTGTTGTTGGTAAAGAAATCGCTGTTTACTGGTAACGTGGCGGGCTGGCATTTGGGCTGTACTTTGGTGGTCAGGAAGGATGGGTAGCGATGCAGCAAGCCACGCCTGGAAACAGTCGCATTTGGGTCCAAAGAGTTCTGCACGATGAGTTCATAGCTACTCGAAGCAAAGTTCATCAAAGTGAAGAGCGCGATGAAAACGATACCCCCAATGACAGCGACTGGTGTGAACCAGCGGAAGGGAAAGGGTTGGGTTATGGGGTAACTGAAATATGACTTATGCTCCATGGTCGGTGGTAATTAGACCTGATGGCCGCGATCAAAGATGTGGCATTACTTTTATGTACTGAAGACCGAAATCAGGCTGTGAATAAGTCCTTGACTCCAAGATAACGGCTTTTTCAGCTGTGTCCTACAACCAATCAGCTGTTCGCTTTTCATGCAGCTTACTGTCGTTTCAGTCCCGATTGGGGGCCTCACATATTTCTTTCTATAAATATCTTTTAGCTAGTGGCTCAGGAGCTATCAGGCATGGGTTCGACCCTGTCTTCTACCTAGTCAGCAAGATATAAATACCTCAAAGTCGTAAGACTAAATTGTGACTGGACTAATCTGAGTTCAAGAGCCTCTATGAGCGTAGCAAGTCTTCTATCTTTCATCTTAAACGGAGCCATTTCTCAATAGCACTTTCGTCATCCAAAGCCTCTCCATTCATCAGCCCATTAACAAAAGACTCCCCCAGGAACAAATAATCTTCACCAACACCGTCCACCGGTCGCACAACAAAAGGCGTGCATCCACCATAAAGAACACAAACATGGTCTCCAGGCTTCATTGACATAGGCCCGATGCCAACGGACCCTAATTCCGTTATGAAAAACATCCGATCTGCTTCCATCGCATCTTTGAAGCTGTTAGGTGTATCCTTTCGACCCGTGGGTGGTGGAATCTTTAAACCCTTAACCAGCTCGACAGATGAGTCAATTTCATCTTCGTTATCGTAGACTTCTGTCAGTATATCTCTTAGTTGCTGTATTTCTTCCTTATCGTCGAAAAGCGCCTGTCTTTCGGGTGTTGGTGGGTGAACCTGAAGCACACGATGTAGGAGCGTGATGAGAGTTCTTGTCTCCTCTTTCTTATCCTGAGAAACAAGAAGTCGTAACAGAGCAGATGATAGGTACTCTTTGAAATCCAATAGGTAGAGGTTTGTATCCATACGGGCTGTCAATGCTCTCAGTAGTAGTGTAATCAAATCAGCACCGTTTCTCGCAAGAATCACGTCTTCATGTTGCATCATCATCTCATACGCTTGTAAGATCCAGGTAATAGGGCTCCATCCTAATGAGTCCAGAATCATCTCCTCTGAGAGGCGTGGATCTATTTCCCAAGCCTTGGCCTTGGCTTCCTCCCATAAATCTGCACTTGGCGTAAACGGCATTATCGCTATGACGACAGTATCAACATGTATTCCCCGCAAGGTCAATACTCCTTGATCTGTATCTTCGCCCATTTTGGCTTTGGAGTCTTTCGAAGAGTTATGTGTTCTGTCTTGGAAATGTATTGGCTCTTTATGCAGGCTATGAAACCACGGAACCCATAAAGGCCCTGTTTTCATATCGAGATTCTGAACCGTGGAGAAGCGCAGGATGTCAAGTTTCCCGGTTACAGCGATGTTTGTGCGCACGAAGTCTTGGTAAACTTCCAGAACAGGCTTATTGTAATCTGCCACGATGTCGTACCCTGTCTGGTCTGCGAGCCCGATGAATGCATATATTTTATCGCGGGGATCTGATGCCTGGTGTCCCATGAACCTGACCACCAAATAAGACCACTCTTTGCTTTGATGGTTTCCTACCAGGAGCATGGCCGCGTTTTTCACAGCATGCACTGTAGCGGAAATTTCCAATACCCTAGGTATCAAAAGCCAACCTACTGTAGAGCTGCGAAAGGTCTCACCAGGGATAATGATTCTCCCCCATAGGATCCTACAGGATTTCGCTACGGCGATCTCTTGGACGATCCACACTCTTGAGAAGTATGGAAGGGCGAGCATATTATGGAAGGCTACCCAGGTCGGAAAATCTTTTTTCGGCAGGCCGAGAGATTCCAAGGCGTTATCGCCAACAGGGTCGGTGCTTTTCGTCGTGCCAGGCCAACTATCAGATCCCATTATGGAGATCATGTCAGCAACACGGGCAGACTCGGGTGACTCCGTTGCGCCCAACCAAGCGTTGACGAGCTGAGCTTTGCTGTATATATCTCTCATGATACAGACTTGTTGAGATCGTTCCTGTAGATCATTTTGGTTGATGCAGATTTGGTCGACCCAGATCGAGCGACAATCGCTTATTTCCCGCAAGCGATGCAAAGCTCCGTACAGATTGACAGTAACGAAGAAGTTATGACCATTGCATTGAATCGATTTGCCATTGGTCGTAGCTGGAGGTCCCCATACGTAGCTCAAAGCTTGATACGAAGGTGCCGTTTCCAGTGAGTGCAATCTCAGTGTACATCTGACAGTGCAATTGCTGTCGCCATTTTCGATCTCAAGGAGCCGAAATGATTGAGGGTTGGGTAATTTCTCGTAGGGGAAATTCTGATTTATCGCCATGTCATCGGTTCTGCTGTAGTTGTGGAATGATAAGATGAGTCTTAGTTGAAGAGAGTGAATCATGTATGTCTAGGAGGCTCAGCTTTCAGCTCTGTTAGTGCCTGTGGGCGATTGGTCGACAGAGGTTGAAAGGCATTATGGGGTCTTGGCAGGCGTTGCACAAGGCACTATCACTCAAAATTTCACCTTGTCAACTAAACCAAAGTAATACTTGGAATCATCGGCTCTATTGTTTTTCCACTTTCTATTGAGTCCCCCACTGGAGCTGGTAGATCGAGCTCGATACCTTGTACTCGCGTAACGCATCGATAGCGCCTTCACCAGTCTCAGCGACAGCGAGAAGACCCTTGTTTCCCGGCTTCACAAATCCTTCCTCGACTGCCTTATCCAGCCAGTCAATTATGCCATTCCAATAGCCATCAATATTGAGAAGAACGATACCCCGACTGTGAATGCCAAGCTGGATCCATGTCGTCGTCTCGAAGATCTCTTCCATGGTTCCGAAGCCGCCGCTAAGACCAATAAAACCACTTCCAGGACCTCCTGCAAAGACTTCTTCAGCCATAAGCTTCTTTCGCGTGTGCATGTCCTTTACGAGGGTAGTTCGGCCAAACACTGCTTCATCAGGAATATTCTGGGCCTGGCGCGAACCAGCTCGTTCGTGTTTGACGAGGGCCTCGGGAATAATGCCATGAACAGATTGAGGCCCATTAATCGAGACCAAAGTCTTGGCGATCTCTCCCATTAGGCCAACAGTTCCGCCACCGTAAACTACAAAGTATCAGTCAATTGCTCAGGGAACCCATTCTAGTAATCGGCTATCCCTACTGTCACTCACCAAGGTCGATATTATTCGCAGCCATCGCACGAGCGAGCGCCCGGGCAGCTTCCATGTGATCCGGGCTGGCACCAGTGCCTGCTCCACAGTAGACACAAATCTTGGTGCGGGCTAGAGACATAGCGCTTTGAGTCATTGCTGATGACGGAGATGATGTAGGGTAGCCCGAGCGGTAGTTGAATATTGGGTACTTGGCAGTGAATGGCGATGTGGATGTAAGGGAAGAAATATTGTGATAAGACAAGAGCTTATGAGCAGGCTGCATTTAGAAAAAGGTACAAGGACGGCATTTAAAAAGTAATCTATTCATTTAATGTCCCATCGTGTTTGTGAGGATGCCTATCACCTGGCTATTGGCCTCGTAGCTCGGCCGAGTTTTGCACAAGATGCATTTATACGTAACCATGCCTACGACTGCACATGAAAAACATGCCAATTTCAGTCATACAGGGTGTGGCAACATTTACTTTCATTAAATGGCAACCCAGAAACCTTTCAGTAACCTCCTGGTCGATGAATAATGTAATCCGGATTGTAATGCTCAGATCGTTAACAAATTTCATCGGATCCCCCCGCAAGTGATGATAGCCGGGTTTTAGCCGGATGAGGATGCAAACCAGATCCACCCACAAATCTCGGCCGTGTTCAAAATGTCTCACCCGCGATAATTGTGCAAACACGGCCGACCGGAAATAATTACACATGCCAAATCCGAGATCAGTCCGACGCAGTCAGCGGTCAGTTCTCGCCTGCACTAATTGCTCTCGCCGCAAGATCAAATGCTCCAAGACTATTCCCTGCACCGCATGTGTGCGCCAAAATAAAGCTGCACAATGTCAGCGAGAGCCCGTCACTGTTGTCTCGAGGCGTTCGGTAGGGCGTTCCAGGATCTCTACAGCACCGGATGACCCGCCACCTGTAATTGTACCTTTCCCAGAAGCGGCCAGTCTCGCACAAGTGTCGCCAACTTCGGTCGAGGAGGTCGCTACTGGCACTACTATCAACACTGCACCTGGCAGCAGAGCTGCAAGCAGTAATGACTTCCTACCGCAGATTGATGAGCGAATGATTGAACAGCTTTTGGCTTCGCTGTCGACGCCTGACACAAGATTGACCAACGAAGCTGCTGCCGTGCTAGAGTTTCTGACCCACGGTCGACGTAGTATTCTCAACCAATTTATCGGACGAGAGTCTATTTCCACCTCCATGACGCAGCCTGTTCAAAAGTGGGATACTTTCCTACCTGCCGAGAATGCTCGCTCACTGCTAGCGCTTCATGGGATGCATTTGACCTGGATGCATAACACGGTTCATATGCCTACGTTTCTGCGCGAGTTTGATGAGAATATTCTCAAAATTGAGTGTGATAGAAATTGGATAGCTCTTTATTATTCTCTTCTCTCAGTAAGATGCGCGCCCTGCTGCCTAACTCGCAAATCTGACGCTTCACAAGCAAACGCTCTACCATCTCGACAGCGACTACCTATCATCTCTACCCCAGCCGATAACAGGTGAGCTGCCTGGCAACCCCCATTGTACAAGTGACTGATGTTTCGCTATACAAGTTGACAGCAAAGCGTCGCGTGTCTTGTTTGACAGGAGCAGAGAGATGCTCTATAAAGCCGAGTTCATGGATAAGCATAAGCTTACCTCGGTTCAAACACTCTGCTTGCTGGTTCAGGTTGCTCATAATTTTGACAAGTCCGACCTCATTTGTGTTCTCGTATCCGCTGCTATTCGCATCGCTCAATGTCTGAACCTCCATAGGTTGGGTACCGATAACCCTGGTGCCGGTGTCGACGAGGCCGTCGACGGCGAAGTGCGAAAGCGAGTTTGGTGGTTTCTTGTGCGGTACGACTGGCTACAGATCCCATTCCAAAACACATGCCAGATTCATTATTCACAATTCAACACCCCGATGCCCGCTAACTGTCATGATGATGAGGAACGCATGATAAAAGATGGCGGAGTTAATATACAACCAGCTGAGATATCCACTATTACTACTTGGACGAACTGCCTTGCCCAAAGTAAGGCCAGCCACTTCGAACTCAGGATAAAGGCTGACGGCAATTCCACAGTGGCTATCGTTATGTGGAGACATCATGATCGCATGCTAAGAGTCGGCACAACACAGGCTGGTGAGTTTGATAGAAAATATGATGAAGTCGTGCGAGCCGATGAGGAGATCAAGAGCCTGTATCTCTCATGGTCTGATACGTTACGAGACGTCAATACTACACCAAGCGACAACCTCGCAATCGATGGTCTGCCTACGGCCCTAATGCCAGCAATGCTTCTCATGAGTATCGCTCAGAAAGTCGGTAAAGATTCACTATGTACCGGTGTTCCTGACTGATAAAGTAACAGATCTTTACTGTTCATCGCCAATTCCAACTATCATGCTTTCGCGACAGGCGATACGCGTTTTCTCAGGTAAGTAGTTAGTGTCCTCGATCACGTCTGGGATGATCAGTGACCCGATGCAGTTGTCGTGCGTGACGATAGCAGAACGAAGCATCGAAGCATTCCAGAGATGGCCTGATTGTCTTGAGGCACGCATCTGCCGTAGAATGTGGACTACGCTATCGTACATGATCAGCTGCTCAATCACTCTCCTTCTTGCTTTACTCTTCAAGGCTCAGAATGCCCTCACGCATGACTGGAAGAGGCTACGAGCTCATGTCGAGTACGGTAAAGCGTTTATTGGTAAGGAAGCACAGGCGAGCTCGATCGCCAGGAGAGGAGTTCGATTACTTGACGCGCTGATGGAGCTCGAGCGTACATCGAGGTTCTCATCGGACATTGAAGCGGATATTGGAGATACCATACGTTGCGTTGCATTAGCTGATGACGACGGTGTTGAAGCCAATCCCGGTGAGGGTTATCAGATGGTCTTTCCATACGGACAAGACCTTTGGGAGAGTCTGATGAGGGATCCTGCTGAGGGTGACCTGATATGATTATCTTATGTGGACTGAACTTGAATTGAACACGATAAGTCTATTACTGCCTTGGTCTCCTGACGCTCGTCTTCTCGAAACTAAAGTTCCACGTTATCTTGCGAGTCCCCCCAACATCTGAGGACCCCATCCTTCCAGCATGTTGCAGTACACTTGGCGTGATCGCGTACTTCTTAAGGTGATGGCTATCAGCGAAGCTTTCTATGAGCGAGTCGCCAGCAACAGCATCGGACGCGGTGTTCAGGGCGGCGCCAAGCGCGTCCAGATGTTGCCGAGGGATCACTAGACCCTGTGCACAACACCCGTAGTTCGGCATCTCATGAACGCCAGTTGGATACGGATTGACTGCAAGACGACCAGAGAGGAAGTACAACAGGATAAAAGACGCCGTCCAGAATGTCAGGTGCGGTAGGGCCCAGATGGTGGACTTTGGGTGAAAGGTCTGGGATCTCCGTCGGGTGTCTATAGCCACCACCAGAAGGTAGAGGGCCAAGACGATACAGTATACTGATAACGAATTGACGAGATATGTTGGCCATTCCTCAGCGTTCCAGCCCATGTATGTTTCGGAATAGAACAGTCGTAGGTATAGCCAGTTCTTTGCGTCTTCGGTTCGTTCGAGCTTGTCCAAGGCAGTGGACAGTCGCCCTAGCCAGTTTTGCGCAGCAATGATATCATCTTCTACCAAAGCAAAGTAATCTGCCCTTTGTTTTTGGCAGGCGGCCATCAATGTAGCGTAATCGCGATGGACTCGGTCGTTTCGGAGGAGCTCATGGCTGCGATCCGACGCGACGCTACGGTACCGGTCGGGACAGTCAGTTGTCGAAGAGTTGCCGTAGAAGAGGACCTCGTCCGCTAAGCGGTTAAGCCATCGTCTCCCAAAGGCAGGATGGGAAGTTGGATCATCGTCTGCCAGTAGTACGACGACGTGTATCGCCTGCCTCTGTTCGAGGCTGAGACCTTGGACGAGCGAGGCTACGGCTCGGGGCAGGAACTGCTCTCGTTCTCGCGTGACACTCGGTATGCCGACACATAAACGCTTACTCGAGTTTCGTGGTATTGCTTCAGTACCTTTGTTGAAAGGGGGGAGTTTCGCTAGCTCTTCTACTGGGAAGTGTTCGGCCACGTCGAGCAGTTCATCGGCTTGCCGCTGTCGAATAGCACTGTATCGCGTCTCGTAGGCTCGGGCCGAGTCATAA